ACACTTTTGGCTTGTTCGATTCAACATATAAGGATTTATGGCAAGCGTCAAATCGCTTAACACCTCATTACATTCGATTGTGTCGGTGGCATATTGTTTGTGCGTGCTCCTTTAACGTCGAAAGTGGCGGTCCACCAAAACCACAAGAAATGTTGATGCTTATGGTGTAGCAGCATACATATTTATGTTTATATATATACATATGTGTGTAAATATCTATCAACATTATAGTATCTGATGATTTGCTTTAAACATGCTTTCTTTCCATCAGTTATACTTCTCTCTTTACTCTACATACAAATATGTTATATATAATTTCTACTTTATTTATGTTTTCCTATTTTGCTTCTTTCTTTTCTTCAGTATAATTATACCCTTCATGAACCCTTATTTTCGAAGTATAAGACCCTAAACAACTTCTCTAGCAATTCAGGCGTCAGAGAATCAGGTCTGTCAAAATTTTGGATTGATAGCTCGTTAATGCATGAAGATAAAATTATAAACATTTCGATATTATAGTAAATTTATCAGGAAAATTGGTTAATTAGCACAACTACTGTGAAATTAAAAAAATAAAATTTACTTTAAAAATAGCATACTAAAATTATATAGCGTTATTTCAAATAGTTTTTGAGTTACAGTCTTCTAAAGTGTAGCCGTGAATCTAGCTCCAACAATTTATCCTCCAAAATATTATTCTCGAATCCGAACATTATCGACATGTTCTTCATATAATTCTCCATACAATGACCTACCATTTTCTTGAGCTTTAGGCTAAAAACAACCAAAATTTTGTGTAAATTCAATATTTGTTTACTTGTGATTTTTTTCGACCGTAGGTCATACCATGGACCATATTTACGAGTTAGAATGTTGTGTATTCAGGTTTATTCACGAAGAATTCCGCATTTTCGTAGGCTGCCACACTAGATTTAAACTCTACTTTTTGCATATGCTCAACTGATAATTTGTACACTGAATGATGGAGTCGGTAAAAATTAAGTATTCACGGATCCTTAAGACAAAATACTTTAAAAATAACTTTTCCAATTAACTAACTGACTAAGAAAAGGAAATTGTGTGCTATTTTCTAATCATAAATTGAATGTTGATAGTAAACCACATCATGTTCGTACAACTATATCATAACATATGTTATGGTGGTCTATTTTCAGCTTTTTGTTTGAGGCCTAAGAACATAAATTTTGTTAAAATATTTACTAATCATGACAATAGATTAGATAGCGAAATGCACAATGATCACACGTCTACAACATATAGCGCTCATACAACCGATATTATAGATAATATATTATAAGGTTTCGACTTGTAACCTCTAAAATATAGCAGGTACATATATACAATATATACACGAAATTCTGGAAATCATTTACTTATCATGACTTATAAGTGCATCATGATAATCATTAAGCTAGGTCGACAATAGCATAGATCGCACGATTGTTTAGTTGTGAGATTTCGTTCTGTAACCTTTCCTATTTCTGGTAGCGATATTTTGTAAAACTTTGTGACACTTATTGTGTCTTGAAATTAGACAGTAAAAATCATTTAAAACAGTCGACTATAACATTGGTATTAAGTACGGGATATAAGGATATTTCAAATAAAAAAATATTTGGAAAATCTATATAGATTGTTAAAGTTTAAACACTATACTCCTAAATTTTCTTTATCTATTTTAAGTATTTGATTTATTTTAAGTTTTCTTTTATTTATGAAAGGTATAACATCTATGGCGTGAAATCAGCTACATTCTCTCCCATTTCGTCTTTGTGGGTTGGTGTAACAAGAGATGTGTATATTTGTCTTCATTCTGATTGATGTCTATTTGATACTCCGCCGTCTGATGTGCATAACTACGAGTTGCGCTCAGCGTCTAGCGTGTCAGTCTCCCATTTTTCCGCTTCTTCCTTTAGATATACCTACATACATATGTATGTCTATACGTATGTACGTATTGACAACTCTGCGTAATTTTATTTATTTATTTATAAATCGTGGCGTTCAAATACATAGAACGTAGTCACAGTCACCTTCTACCATTGACTAAAACGCAGCTAAGAAACAAAAAGAAAAAAAAAACGAAAAAACATGCATTTCGTCTATATTATTTGTATGCTATGAACGAAATTGAATGTTACGCATCATTGCGTGCATTGAACTCACAGACAGACGGCTGATCTACATTTGAATATGTTACATGACAGGGAGAATGGCGGGCGCTCACCCGCATTTGACATTTCCATGCTGGTTACTTTATGACGACATTTGCAGGAAAAAAGAAACAGACTGTAGAATGTTACAAATAATAATATATACATATGTACATATACGCAAATTGGAGATGTAAAGGCTTGGCTGTGGGAGCTTGTTGCTCGGCTTCACTTAACAATTAGGCGATTGTGGGTGCTGCTTAGCGTTTACCTTTGATCATTCCAAAATAATTTAGCATGTTTGCAAAAAAAAATCATTTATTTGATAATTTGCACAAATTTCCCTATATGGCTTAGCCATAAATTGATGGCATGCCATTTAAAATGCTGAAATATGAGGACATATTTTATAACCTCATTTGCCATATATGGAAATGCGAAATTATTGACAATATTTCACTATAAATACCACTTAAATTAAAATAAAGGAATCATATTGAGTTAACAAAACTTGCGAAAAGTTATTCTCAATAATATTTTATTAAAAGTAAGCTATTTTGCAGTTGTAATATAACATGTCTCAAGTTTGTTGTTGGTTAGTATCCCTTTTGCAGCTGTCATACGTAACCAAAAACAATAAATAAGATATGGTTGTAAGGATAGAACTCATCTCTGCATGACAATTGTAATTATAATGTGTATAATCTATCAGTTTTCGATATATATTACTGAAAAATATGAAAAATAAACCATTGTGAAATGAAGTAAACTTTTCAAATAGAACTTCTCTTTATGGTGCAACAGCTGTTACTAGGCTAAGCTACCGAGTTTCAAAAGAACACACCAAACTATGCACGATCGAGTTTTCAAGTATTATAGCTGCATTTAGTGATGTTTACATCTGAGAACCTGAAATGAGGCATGTAACAAACTGATTTAAATCTGTGAGGCGGAAAATCGGTTGTCTATCCTATTTAAACGTTTTGGAATGCGCTAAATGCCTAAAGAATCAATTAGTTGTAAGATTTTGTCTTCAAATTGTATACAAAATATATTTACTGTTCAATTTGACTATTGAGAAGACAAAAATACGCTATAAATTTGCGATTTGTAGGATATATTGTTGAAAAAAAAATTATATAGTTTCCGAAAAATTAATAGCAAATGAAAGGTTTGCTCAAGCAGCATTGTTTTGGTGCAGGCCACGTGAAAAAGAACTTCGTTTCACTTTTCGAAGCGCTCTTAAAATCCAGTCAAAATATAGAGGATGTATATGTTTGGAGCTTGATAAATGTACTGAGTTTTCTTAAGATTTTATGTCGACAAAGTAATGAATGTTGTTGATATCAATTGGTTAGGTTAGGTTATACTGGTCGGTAATATCTATAAACATTTCAACAAATTTGTAACAGACACTAAACGCTTTGTCGATCTATGAGCGTCTTGATGGTGAATACTTAGGAGTTTCATGCAACACAACGGACCTTATTTTTAGTTTTTCAAGTAAGATTCTTATTGACTTTTGTCACGGCATCATTCTTTTTAATATAACAAAACCTATCCAATATTCCCATACCTCATCGATGCTTTCTTGCTCCTCAGCGACTTTAAAATCAACTTTTACACCCTTTAACTACCACTAACAGAATCGTTAATCGTTTAATATAGATGATGTTTTCATGTTTAGTGTGGGATCCCATTACAATTCTCAAAGTATAATCCTTTCTAAAAAAGTGCCTTTAGTTCTATCTCATTTAATTTGGAATACCTAAATAGACAAATACATACATATGTATATCTGGTATTGAACAATGTGAGAACAAAATCTGTCTCTTTTGAAGTCGAAACAGTCAAAACATTAGCGACTAGGTTCCCAAGGATATGTAATATTCACAACCTTAAAGTTCCGAACCAACATTGGAACCTTTATCAATTGAAATATACCATCGAAGTATTCTTGATAACAAGTTCTGTTTTGTACTCAGTAGGCTCTTCAAAAGTAAAATACTCTCGATAAAGTAAAATAAATAAATACCAAAATTGAAGATATCATTTATGGTGCGAAATAATGGACGGTGTCAAAATCAGAAGAAATTCAACTAATACATATATTTTGAAAAGAAAAAATAATTTTCAAAATTCCATAAAAAAAGTATCAACATTTGGACGGCATATGATGATTCAATATTATATGATATGATGAAATCTGCAACGCTGGTTGGACCAAAGAAATATTTGATCAAATAAATTGCTCCAACCGCTTCTGTTCTGAAGTCGGAACAGTACTCGAAAAAAGTCCATTTGGATTTGGTTGGTTCAGGTTGAGATTGTGGAAATAAAATTGTCAATTGAATTTCTCTACCGAAACAATAATATTGAATAGAATATAAGAGAACAATAAGTCCATTGCATTGTTAAGGGTTACATATTCTTAATTTGGGAGGTTAACATATTGTTTAGATCTCGATATTTCCAATTGTCAATTGTTTTCGTCGGAACTCAACTATGTCCAACTTAACCTTAAAATTTGATATAATCTTTAAAAAGATATCTAAATTCATTTGCTGCAATATTCCTAATTCAATATTTTATTTTCCTGAAAGCGATCTTTTGTTAAATCAATTATTGAAGAATGATATTTATTGTGTTCTAAACTCCAAAATATAGAGGATCGCTTATGGGATAAATAATGCAAGACAGAAGTATTTTAAGCTGTCTCTAGTTGCTGTCGGAGAATGTAATGAATTTGAATTTAATTTATGAAAAATCTGACAAGAAAAAGAAGACACCTAAAGTTTTCAGTTTCACTGCGTAATATCTATGATTAAAGCCTGAATTTCGCACTGACTCTATAAAACACAACGAGTTATGTAGTTTTGATTATAAAATTTTAATATTTTATTTATATAATATAAACAGTGAACACATTGGGTAAACTCACACTTTATTACTTCTTAGAAATTTTTTATTTCTCAACACTTCCCTTCACATTCACCTCTACGGAATCGCCATCAAAACAAGCATCCACTTCATTGAGCGTACGATTACAATACACCGAATATACGCTCCAAGCGCTCCAACCCTGTCGCCGTTGTATGGTCCTGGCGCACGCCACCGCCTCGGTTATGTCATCCAGCAGCAAAGCGCTACATTTGACATTGCACTCATTGAACGCATAATATTTGGTGCCATTGTCCGGTTGACACCAATAGCGACTGCTGATCTGAAAGAGTCCATAGTCGCTGGAGCCGTCCGCATTGCGATTGCCCACCACATGCGTGTTGTAGCGACTCTCGTAATGGGCAATGCACAGCCACAGCGACAGCTCCGATTTCGGCACATCCAATATGTATAATTGGCCGGCGAGTTCGCAGCGTTGCAGACGACGCGTCTGGGTGGGGGCGGGTGCGTGCATGAGCAACAGCCAAATGCAGCAACAAATAGTTGAGATTGTGCTGGCAGCGGCAGTTGCTATAAATGTTGGCAGTGATCGTGGCGCGGCTGTTGATGTTGACACTTCTTGGCGTCGACAGCGGCGACGCTGAACGTTTTGGCACTTCATTTGCATGACGTTTTTGATTAATGAAACGAATTAGGAAAATAGTTTTGAAGCGTGCGCGTTTGAAATTTATACGAACGCGGATGTTGTTGATTGGCGTTAGCTGTCTCGTCGCTGGTATTTGGCGTACTGCGGTGCGGCGCATCGTTGTCGTATGCGTTTGGGGGAAGTCAGTAGCAAAAGTTAATTTAAGAACCAATAGCACAACAATAAAAATATGGTCCAAACCGGTTTTATGTTTTGCGAAAATTCATTATGGTAATTACATAGTGTGACTGCCGTTTTTTTTTTTTTGTGGCTGCACTATTACATTGTGGACGTCCTCGCCAACGGCTTTGTTGCGGGCAGTCGTCGTTGTTCCCTCGCCCTCACACTCAGCGTCGATATCGCACATTCTCAATTATTGCAGTTTGTTTTGATCATTGAAGTGTTTAATAATGATTATTAAAGAATAAAAGTGGCGTGAGAATTATTTATTGTTATCGCAGTTACGCGCATCTATGTTTACTGCTGTAGTGGTATTTACAATACGAACAGCTGTCTAAGCGCCACAAGGTGAATGGAAAGATTATTTTTATTTTGCTTTTTTGTAGAATATATAAAACTGCAAACTCTGATAATTGGAGAAAGGCGAAACTTTTTGTATCGCTAGTTCCTATAATAACCTATGTTACTCTACTAAACATTGTTGTTCGGTTATTTTTGGTTAAGATCCCTTTTGCAGCGCTCATACGAAACCAAACTTAAGAAATAAGCTATAATTTTAAAGCTAGAAATCAGCTTTGCATGACAATAACAAATATAATGTGGTGCGTATTGTTTCAGATTGAGCATATCCCTTTGAAGTGATTTTTGTTGATTTGGAACCCTTTTGCAGCTGTCATAAGAAACCAATAAAAATAAATAAGACATGGTTTTAATAGTAAAAATCAGCTCTGCATGACAATCATAATTATAATATGGTGCGTGATGTTTCAGTTTACACATAATTCTTTGAAGAGCTTATGCTTTCTTACCCGTATCTATACATTATATAAAAGTGACTTTAAGAGTCAAGCTATGTAAGCTTGTAGAAAATGGTAAGTAACCACGTCTCGTGATCCCTCAACGGATCTACTTAATCGGTAGAAACTCGAATCTATATCCGGCCATGAACTGTCAGATCGGCAAAACTACAAACTTAACAAAATCGCCCGACATCACGCATTTCGAACGAATCCGAATTTATATTTGAACTTTTGGGCTCACTACAGTCTCATTTCTTTTCCTCTCTGTTGGCAAATTGGTATTTTAAAACGCTTCTGATTTCTTATGCAAACAAAAACATCTTATTTATTTCTTTCACAGTAAGAACAATTCAATTACCAATTATTTTTTATAGTCTACTACTTCTCTTCTGAGGAAAAACGTCGTTCTAATTAGCTATAATTTTTCAAAAACTACAGATCAGCTCCAAACGCGCATATCTAGACTTCCGTAATGCAATAATTAAAATGTACTTTAGTATGCTCCTTATTTCCCCTTTGTTTTTGCCTTCAAATGAACCCAGCAATACGTTGCGGTGCCATTGAAGTGCATTAATACCCGCTGGCCCAACACATACTCTTACACAGTAGCCACATGTGCAACACTTGCAACTCAAGTACACGCCGCCCACCTACCGTGGTGCCTCAATGCGTTGGCTATGGCCTCATCTAACGTTACATATATTGTCGTTCGTCTCATAGTGTTCATAATTCACGCAGTGGCGATCGACGGGTGATCTCACAGCAGCGTTGTGGTGCGCCCAACTGCAAGCATATGCCACCGCGTCATGCCTCATTTATTGGAAAGTGAAAAATAATAATTATAGTTTAAAAAAGAAACGAGATTAAACACAATGCAAACGCATTGAATTTGTGCGCGTCAGTCGCTGGAGTGAACTCTGATGTGCCTAGTGGCATAAGTACCATAGTACCATCGTGGATCCGAGCGCACACATATATCACTAGTGGTTGCCTGAGACATACAAACAAGCTTGTCTGTGTTATTATTTGTTGGTTTTTCTCCCGCTTTTGCAACGTACAATTTGCTAGCCTTTGCAATTGCTTGCGTTTCATGGTTTATTTCCTTAATTTGATCGCTTCAAGTGGGCACAATGGTAAACTGCAAAGTTGTTTACCAATTCTGCATGCGTTTTTTTTACATTTTTTTCTTTAACATATATCAACCATATGAGTATGTTTACTCGAATATTTAGCTTAGAAGAAATTGCTCGAAATTAATTTTTTTTCACTCTTTTCCTTTGCAGCACGAGTCCGAGCACACTGAAGGATGTTACAATGGAGCATTCATGTGAGTATTATGTAACAACATGCAATATAAAACATACGGTAGGTAGACATTCTCTATGTCTGGGAAATTCGTTTAACGCAATGGGAAATAAAAAGACAAATATTCGATGCTACATTATAGAAGTTAGGTTAGCATAGGTTTTCGAAACTGAACTCCGGTTGGTAGAACAAAAAACTCCTGAAAATTGAATATATGACTCCTCACAAAACCAATGTTAAAGCGATTTAATTCGATGCCAGATAGTTGCCTTGGTTGGATAAGACCAGTCCAGTCTCAGAAAAGCCGGACAATCATAAAGAAATTGACGATCTTAAAGACATTTCAAAAAATTCGCATCTGACAAATTTTATAGTTTTAAAGCATCGATACTAATCAGACAGATGCAAAACCCCTACAACTAGAGAGAATCGAGCCTAGCTGAGTTAATGTTCATCTCTTAAATTCAACCTGAGTCTGAAGAACCTTGCCTTTTTATATACTGTACAGGGTGTTTTAGTTTGCCAGGCAGTTTGAAACTCACAGAAGATAAAAACTGAGACCGCGCTGAGTCGATTTAGTCATGTCTGTTTATCTGTTCGTCTCAATTTTTGGGATATCGATCTGAAATCTCGAACACGTCCTTTTCTCCCCAAGAAGTTGTTCAATTGTCGAAGTCGCCGATATCGGGACACTATAGCATATCTGTCATACAAACAAAACGTTCGGAATCAAATGCTTGTAAGGAAAACTTTCCCATTCGACGAGATAACTTCACGAAATTTGGCATGGCTTACTGCCTTAGGCAATGATGCTTTCTTCGAAGAAATTGTTCAAATCGGATTACTATAGCGTATATATATTGAACGATCAGAATCGAGTTCTTGTATGGAACCTTTTCTATTTGTTAAGAGTAGTATAACTGCGGTTAAGTTAACGTTTTCTCTTGTTGTGTATTGATGCTGCCTCTAAAGCTTTATCGATGATCTCAACTAAAGCTTATATCAAAGTCGGGTTACAAACCCACAGTTGCCCATCTTCCCATTTTTTGTATATTTTTGCCTTATTTTTTCATTATTTGTTCTACTACCTAGTTCAATAACTTTTCATAGTAGGTAATTGAAAAAGTCATAAACATTTTTGACTTGAAGTTGAAAATTAGTTTTGAATTGTGGAAAAAAATAATAAAAATAAATAGATTTTTTTATAAACGTACTTTCAAAACTAAATTGAACAACTAATATTACAAAAATTTTCAAATAACTGAAATATACAACTCTGATTTGGAACCACTACCAACACACACACACATTCACACAAAACGCATGCATTAAATGCAAATGCCGACAACAAGAGCAAACAAATAGCGAATTATAATAAAATAAGAAAAAAAGGAGAAAAGTTTAGAATTTCCAGAGCAACAAAAAACGCAAACGAAATCTCGCCATGCGTCGCAGCGTGTGCAGCATGAATAGTTCGCCGGACTCGAAAGAGAAATTCTTTGTCTTCAAGCGCAGCTCACACACGCCGCTCAGCGAGACGGATTCGAGTGCGGATGGTAAATAACGCGACGATGAGCAAATTATTGATTTAATTTTTTTAATTTTTTTCTTTGCAAATTGTGTTAAATAAGTTATATAATGTATTTTTTTCTATATTTTGTCTGCACACAGATGGTGTTGGATTTCCGTGTGTCAGCCTACAGGGTCACGGCACGACCTCGCCGCCGGTGCAGGGTCGCTCCGTGCGCGAATTCGAAGAGCAAATGGCATCGCTGCGCAAGGAGAATTTCAATTTGAAGCTGCGTTTATATTTTCTCGAAGAGAGTGTGCCCGGTTATCATCAAGCGAATGCCGAGGGTCATGAGTCGCTTATGAAGCAGCTGATCGAAACAAAGGTATTAAACATTTTTAAAATATACCATTTTATTTATTGTGTATTGACCGTCATTAAATAATTTCTTTGCGCAGGTTGAAATTGAAATTTTACGTAAGGAACTGGAACAGAAACAGGAGTTACTGAAGGAAGCTGCGCAGGCCATGAATCACATGGAGGAGATACAGAAAGAAACTGAGATGAAGGGGCAGGCGTTTATTGAAGAACTCAAGCAGAAGATACAGTTTTTGGAGGTTAGTAAAAATTAATAAATTTTAAAGTGAACATAGAAAAGCGTTAAATTTGAGTTATTCATAGAAATATTTTTAAATGAGTAAAGATGACAACATATACGTAGTTGATTTAAAAAAATTGAAATTCAGTGAGATTATTATTCTTAATAAAAATTTTTAAACTAATTTTTTAAGAAATATTTTAAATATAATAATAATAATAATGATAAAAAATATAACACTATTGCATTAATAAAAAAAATATAATAAAAATCCAGTGAAATTTATTAATCATAATAAAAAATTATAGTTTCAAGAAAATAATTTTAACCAACTTTAAGAGAAAAAAAACAAAGTTTTTAAAGGATCTTATTTTATTTAGATTATATTGAAACAGCTTTATAAAAAGTAATAATCTGAACTTAAAACTAAAATAATAAAAAATAAAAAAATTTTATTTAGAGTATAATATAAATGTATTATAAAAAGTAATAATCTGAACTGCACTGAAAATTCCAAAAAAAAATTCAATTTTTTTAGAGCAAGAAAAAAAATTTTATAAACGCAGATCAAATTTTAGTATTTTAAAATATTTCTCGCCAACAAAAAAATATGCAAAAATAAGAGAAAATTATTGATTATTTTTTAAATTTTTAGCTTAAATTTGTTTACTTATGATGCCAATTGTTTCAAAAAAAATAATAATAATAATTCCGTTAAAAATATAATTTTATTTTATTTTAATAACAAAAAAATCCAAAAAAACATAAATTTTTTTTTTTAATTTTCCGAAAAAAATATAAAACTTTAATTTTCCACAAAGAACATTTACAAATATTATATGTGCCTGTTTTGTTTTGGATTTTATTTGAAATTCTTATTATTATATAAAAATAAAATTACGTTTTGTTTAATTATGAAATAAAAATAAAATTTTTTATTTTATTTTTTTTTACTATCAATAAAAAATGGTAACATTTTGTGGTATTTAATTGCAAGAGTTAAAAAAAATTGTAAAATTGCTTGTCGTGAGAACGGTTTTTTTTGTATAAAATCTCTTAACTTAAACCCGCAAATAACTGTATTTAATAGTGGAAGAGAGAGAGAATAGAATAATTAAAAAGCAAAAAATATTGATTACTAATTCCTTAAAGCCGTTTTGAGCTTTTTTCTTTTAATTAATCCTTTCGCTTTCATTTCTCACCCTAGATGGAACGCGATTTGGATAAGACTCAGCAAAGCGGTTTTATGAATGATTTGCTTGGACATTCAGAGATTTCGGAAAATGTCAATACTTTACAAAAAGTTTGTATAATTTTACTTAATTTATTGCTACGTATTATTTAATAATAATAAAAAACTAAAAAAAAAAATAAATGAATTCACTTAACTCATAAAAAACTCTCTCTTTTATTCTCTAACATTTTTGCTTGCTTTGTTGACGCTGCACTTTCAATTACACCATAGATACGTGAGCTTGAGGGCATGGTCACACAGTCGGAGAGTAAAATTATGTCAATGCAAACACAGAACAACAAGTTTGAAGAGATTATTGCGAAGCGTGATGAGACAATCAAGGAATATGAGGAGAAAGTAAAGGAACTGGCTTTCCAAAATGCTGAACTCTTGGAGATGATGGAGAACAAGGAAAAGGATATGGCGAATATTGAGGTAAGCTTTTTTGATTTGCAGTCAGAATATAAATATTTTGCCTTGCATTTGAGTTGAGCTCGTAAAAGCTGTAGTGCTCACATTAAACTATATATTGCTGTAATAAGTGTCTAGCTCCTTGACATTTTAGCTCGAATTGTTAATTTTTTTATGAATTCTTCTGCTTTATTCTTAATATAATCAACCTCTCATTGCTATAAACTTTCGCTTCAAGCTTAATTTGAAAAGTCTACGTCTGTGTAATGCCGATCTGAAGGAAGATAACAGTAGTTTAATTGAAGCATTGAAGTCCACACAAGATAACTTCCATAAAGAGTTTTCAAATATGAAAGTATGCGAAAAGCGCATGCGCGAACAACAAGATGCATTAAGCCAAATGCAAGTAAGTTTCAAGAAAAGAGTTCTGAGTTTAATTATTAGTTAGAAATGTAGTTAGATATCTAGCATTTAGTTTGTTAGAATCTTAATGTAGTACAGTTAGCTTTTTTTAGGTAAATATATGTAGTTCCCCTAAACTCAAATTTATTATAGCTTAATTAGTTAGGTTAAGAGTAGTGTGATGAGTTCAGAAAATAATAATTTTTAGCAATACAACTTATTTTTAAAGTAAATATTTTTCAGAACTTTTTATTTAAAAACTAAAATTATTTATATTAGATACATCCAACATAATTTTTAACCTGCAAATTGTTTATTGAAACAAGAGTATGAATATTAATTCATTTCGATTTCGAAAATTTTGTGCGAATCCTTTTTTATTTTTATTACGAAATATTTTTGCGAATGCCTATTCATTTTTACTTCGAAATATTTGCTCGAATATCAATGCATTTCGATTTCGAAAAACTATATAAACTATATAGCTATATATTATATAATATCAATTCATTTCAATTTCAAAAAATGATTTGTTCGATTACCAATTCATATAAATTAAAAAAAAAAAACATTTCGATTGTAAAAAATTTGATAGAATACTATCTTTTTTCAATTTCGACAAATTTGTTCCAATTCATTTCGGTTTCAAAAGATTTGTTAGAATACCCATTCATTTCGATTTAAAAAAAATTCGGTCATATACATATGTACGTTCGAAATATCAATTCATTTCGATTTAAAAAAATTTAATTTCGATTTCGAAAGATTTGTTAGTATGCCAATTCATTTTTATTACCAAAAACTAATTCTAATACAAATTCATTTCATTATCGAAATATATATATACTATATCATTTCATTTCGATTTCGAAAGATTTGTTATATTACCATTTCATATCGATTTCGAAATATTTGTTATAATACCATTGTATCTCGATTCCGACAGGTTTGTTCATATAGCATTTCAAATATTTTCCTACCAATTCATTTCAAATTCGAAAAATGTTTACAAATATCTATCAATTTCGATCTCAAAGTCTTTGTTCGAAAACCAATTCATTGCAATTTCGAAGGACTAGTTCGAATACTAACTCAATTCGATTTCGAAAAATTTAAATATTTATTTATTTCGATTTCGAAAAAGTTGTTCGAATCGAGATGAAAATTTCACGTTCGAATAATTTTAAATTTTACAATATGCTACAGAAATTTTTTATTATATGGACTAATATTAGTTTTTTAAGTCTTAAACTTTAAAACTCAAGCTTACTCGCACACGCACAATAGTTGGTTCCGAAATTTTTTATTACTTGTTATATTAATACTCGTTCCAAAACAACATATTACCCTATCAGAAGCAACAAATCAACGCAATAAATGACTGCTTTGTGTTCCATAATACTTCATAGACTTGAAAGTAGTTTTGAGTTTTCGAAAATTGCCGTATTCATCAGCAGTTGTACAAATTATAAGTATTCACGCCATTTTGAAATATAATTTGCATTCATTATCTACCTATAAATCCTTTTCACCTACGCACTGCTGCTTCTTCCACTCCCAACCACTAACCAACCAACAACAGTCGACAATTTCCCTCAAGACCGCGAACACCGCACGCCTACTCGAACGCATACAAGACTACGAGAAAATGGTGACCAAAATGAATTTCGAACGCAATTTAGCCAAGCGCGAGAATCGCTTTTTCCGCGCCATCATCGCCAAATTGCAGCGCAATAAGAACGAATGTTTCACCATCGAAAAGGAGGAGTTCTTTCAACAATATGCGCATGAGTACGATGAGAAGCCAATCGATTGTAATAAACAATATGAAATGAATTACCGCGATATGCTTAAGGGACGTGGCGATTTTCATGGTGAATATTTGCTAAAACAAAAATTATTGGTCAACTATAGCAATAATGCCAAGTACAGCAGCAAAGTGGTGGAGAAGTGTGAACACGATTTGCCAGAGAGCAAATCGATTGTCAAATGTTGTTATCTAAATGATGGTTGCGCACGCCACCGAGGTCTTGGCTTGAGTGGTGGTGATGGCGGCTATGGCGGCGGTGTTGGCTTCAGCTGTGATGAGCTGGACGATGTCGTTCATGAGCCAGCATTTCCCATACGCTACACAATCAGCGATGCGAGCATGTTTGCCGACTGTGATGCTGGCGGTGCGAGCGGTGCATGTACATCGCGCTCGGGTAGTTGCACTTCGTTGCAGGCAAATTTTTCAGCAGCAAGCATTTATTGTGGCGACGTCGCACCACCGACCGTCACAGATAGTGTATGTATGCAGGTGAGCGTGGTCTGTTGGGTGTGCATATTTTACGTGATTTTTATTGGCTTTTCTTTTTTTTTTATTAAACATTTGCAGCATAAGCGGCACAGCCAAATGCCAAATGTGGATGGCGTACGTTTTGTCTATTCAAAATTTGGAAATTTTTAGCGAAACTCACCCTTTATTACATTTCACTACAAACGCTCTATCTAAATATTGGTCCACCGTTAGGCCTGAGTCGTGCGGCGATTGCTAAGTTCAAGCGTCAAAGCTTAAATGCCGTTCAAAATTTTATGCACGAAATACTGTATGCAAACGCCGTAAATGAGACTTAATTTTGCGTTTGTCTGTACGCATGCGCAACAGCTGGTTTATCATTACACTGATTTCTTGTATTACAATTTTGTTGCATATTCATACAAATTACCAAAAATTTCTTTTTCTATTATATAATATTAGTACTTGTATGTATGTATATATATATATATATATTTATGTGTGTATTTTACGACGGATTTTTTGATATTTGAGTTTAGTACACATGTATGTACATATATTTTTGTAAAAAAAAATTGCATGTTTGTAAAAATTTTTGAGAAATAAATTGCATTTATTTTTGCTATACTTTTACTAAAAGCTCAACTCAAATGCAATGCAAAAGCTTAATTTTTTCATTAATATAACTTTTATTTGAATTTTACTAATTCCACATTTTTTTTATATGCGCATGCGCAGCGCGAATTAAAGGAAAAGAAAATCGCGTTGGCCGATAAGCTGTGTGAGTTGGACGATACGCAACAGGAGTTAGTGAAGCTGCGCAAAAGCTATGACACCGCCTGTCGTACGCTGCAACAATTGCTGCAACGCGAGAAGAATCAGCAACAAGATGGCGGCAATCGTGCATTGAGCGACTCAGAGGCTTTGCAAAATCACTTGCAGAAATGCGATCATGAAAATACGATCAAGAATCTTGAAGCCGAAGTCAAGAAGAAGACTGCTGCCTTGCAGGTAATGCCTAAAATTTTATAGATTTCGAATTATAATTAGCTACGGTATAGCTGAATTTAACTGTTTTCTTTTTATACATATTTTTTTTTTTTCGTTTTTTATTTATTTATTTTTTATTTTTTTTTGTTTTTTAATAATTTTTTGGTTTTTTTTGATATCTTAGTAGATAGTAGATAGAGAATCATTGATTCTTTTGAGAAAAAAAGTTTAGAACTGAGTCTATCTAGCATTAGTTCGGTTTGGTTGATGCCAGTTAAATACTTTATAGTGATTGTTCATAGTTATACTTTAATCTATCGCTACTTTAATACTACGTGTATTTACTCTTCAATGCAAGCGAACTGGAATTTCTAATTCTATTTTCTTCTCATTCTCTCCCGCCTTCACAGAATCTAGTCAACAATGAACTTTGGCAAAAGAATCGCGAAATCGAACGCCTCACAAAACTCCTCAACGCCAATACGACATCACCACTCTCACCAACCGCCGCCCGCAAGAATCTTGAGTCCCTCCAATTGCAGCAATCTTTCACAGAAAGTGACTACGCCAAAGCGCTGGAGCATAACAAACTACTGCAACGTAAGGTGGATGTGCTAAATCAGCGTTTGATCAGTGGACGTAGCAATGAAGCGCTGATCGAAGAATTGCGCTCGGAAGCGCGCACAGCACGTGCCGAAGCCGACAATGCAGAAACGTGTCGACGCGCCTATGCCAAAGTCTTTGGTGCGCTATCGGATCGTCTCTACGAGTTGGCCGGTTTCCTCAATTCGCTTATGAAGCACAAGGAGGTGTTGAGCTTCCTGTCAACGGATCGCCGACGCGCCATGCGCACAGCCGTTGACTGCAGTCTCGATTTGTCGACGAGCATACGTGAGACACTGACGACGGGCGATCAAAGCTTTGAAGGTTTAAGCAATTTATCGCGCCTGCTTTTGGACGACGATGAACATGAAGTTGTTGGACTCACCAATAAGACATTCAATTCACACGAAAACATGCCTGCGCGTCACTCCTTTGATGTTCTGCGCTCGGAGAATAAGGCATTGCGTAAGATATTGGATAGTCGTCGCAGTTGTGGTGGCACTGCAGACTATACGAAGGATGTCAAAGATCGACGCTCATTGCCACCATTCTTGTTGGATAATCTAAGCGAATCGGAGGCGTGGTCCGAGCCAGATCGGCAAGTGTCGATGGCGCGCATTGGACTGGAGGAGCTCGGCGCGGCAGCTGCAAATGTCTCAGCGAAGGATGCGATCAGCAAGCAAACACCAGCAACGGCCGACACCGACAGCGAGAGCGAAAGTGATGCGCTGCAACAGAGCCGCACAACAAAACTGCGCAATCAGGAGCGTATTATGCAGCTGGAGAAGTTGATTGCACAGCGTGATGAGCGCATATTGATGGTGCAGTTTCAACTGGTCGAGGCGGACAACAATTTGAAGAAGGAATCTCTGCGTGCCATAACGCTGACGCAAGAAGTCGAGCAGTTGCGTCAACGCAATGAAGAATTAATAACCGATCTGATTGCGATCGGTAGTGAGCAGTCCAACAATAGCACCGCCGCCAACAACAGCTCGCTAATACAGCGGCAGATTGATGAAAAAACGCGCGCCGTCGAACAATTGCAAGGGGAGCGTGATCGCATTGCGGTGGAGGCGCGACTCGCCGAAATGCAAGTGGGCGCGCTAAAGGCCGACATTGAAGACATCAAGCAGAAGTATGAAATACAATTGAAGTTGGCCAGCGAAAAAGAGCGTAAGCGCTTGGATACACTAAAGCATGAATTGGAGGAGCTGATGCAACAACGCCTGAAGGAACAGGAGCGCATACACAAAGACATGTTGACGCGTGAATGGACTACGCGCACCACTTACGAAGAATGCAAAGCGCAACTAACCGAATTGCAGACACAATACATTGAGTCACAACGCACCATCGACTATCTGACGGACAACGAGCAAGAGCTCAAACAAACGCTGATCACCAGCGAAATGGAAGTGCGCAGCCTCAAAAAGCAATTGGATGAAAGCGTACTGCAAGCATCCAAATTTATTACCGAACGTACAAAACTGTGCAATGAGAAGTTGCAATTGGAGAAACGTTTAATGGACTTGCAACAACAGCTGAGCGCTGCTGAAATACAACACACGACCACAACACAGCGTGTCACAGAACTGGAAGCACTGCAGCAAACATTAAGCGAACAATTGGCGCAAGCACAAGCAGCCTTGGCAGCTAAACGTTTGAATGCCAGCGATGCATCACAGTCGGGCTATGCCTCGGACGAAGTGCAGAAGTCGAGCACGAAACGTGAAAGCAATTCGTCGCCCGATTTGGGTATACACAGCGATACGGGACGTGTGTCGAGTGTGGAATTGTCCAATTTGCAGCACTCGCTGCTAAAGACTGTGCCCATGCCGAGCGCTGGTGAGAAGGTCACGAAGGAAGGTGAGTACCAATAATACAAATTTTTTTTATATTTAAAAGATTGCTTGCATGAAAATCTTTACGAAGCTTGAAAGTTATCCCAAGTATAAAAGCTAATTATCCCAAGTATATTTGTGGATCGCGTTCCTTGTTTGTTGAAAGTTCCCAGAAGGAAACGTCAGAGATCCTATAATACAAGTATATATATGTATAAATGATGAGCGTGACGAGCTAAGTCGATCTAACCATGACCGTCGGTCGAGCTGTTTTTCTGTATATACGCGAACTAGACCCTCAGTTTTTGAGATATCGATCTGATATATTGCACACGTCCTAATCTCACTAGGAAGCTGCTCATTTGTCGGAACCGCCGATATATAGTGCTCCGATTTCCACATACCATCGCCATACAAACTGAACGATCAAAATCAAGTCCTTGTATGAAAAACTTTTTTATTTGTCAAGGCTATTATAGCTTAGGTGTTTTTCTTGTGCTTTATTCCATTAACAACAACAACAACAACCTTTACAGATATCAAATACAGCAAACAGGATAAGAGCAACATGAACGCATTCGCGAGCAAACGCCCACAACACAGTTCATCCTCTGATCTGGGTATTGAGAGCGATACGGGACGCATCTCCAGCATGGATATCAAAAATGGTATGACAATTTTGAAAATAATATATTTTTTTTATAATAAACGCTTTATTTACCACACACATCACATGCAGAATCCCCAACCCGCACAGAGACGGATGACAGCAACACAGAGAATAAGATGAGTGTGGCCAATGTAAATAGTGCCACCACCGCCAACGCAGGCACTCACCCCATACACGATTGCATTAAGGTAGAACAAGAAAATGCCGAATTGCGACGCAAACTCGTACAAACGAAGCGCGCATTCGAAGAGACATATAAGAAATTGCACGTAGCAAATCAGCGTAAAGAAACCTTCCAGAAAGAGATTAAAGATCAAATACTAAAAACGAAAAATGTACTAAAATATGCGCGCCTACATATGGCTAAAGTGCAGCAACCTAATGCACCGCATCATCATCAAACAGATGCACATGAGCAAGAAACACAACAACACCAACAACAGCAAAAACAACATCATCATCAGCAACAACAACAGCAACGTAATGTAACAAATGATGGTGGCGCCAGCACGTCAAAATCAAGTAGTGATGCACCGCATTAATGTGTTATTATTGTTTTTGGATAGTTCAACCAAATACACACACTCACGCACACACAAACAGCGAGATTACTAAATTATAGCGCATAGTGAATGTAACTAAATGATATGTACAACAAAAAAAACGCTCATGCAGACAATTAATTGCAATTGCACCCACATCACATTAACCACACACGCACACAAATATATTTACATTATTTACATTACATACCTATATGCTAATTTAGACGAATATTAGTTTATTTAGCGCTTAAATGCATAGTTATTAAGCTAATTTTGTAGCATTTAAGCACTTTACCCATATATACATACATACATATATCTAAAGACAGTTATTTTTGTTATTGTTTCATTTTTGCTATTCAATATATTCACAATGTATTTATTTATAGAATTTGTTGTATGTATGTAAACATGTTATTCGCGCATTACTTTAAGTAATTAATTAATTAACTTCATATTTCCATTAGCACGACATACACACTTACATATATTAATTAACAAAATGTCCCTACAAAATTAGTTTATATTTATAATAATATTATTTTAGTATAGTGAACGCCCCATATTTTTGCTTAAATGTTTTAAGTTTTTGAATTAATTTTCAGAAATAAGCATGTTGTTAAAAATTGTATAAAAAAACAAAATAATTTTATGCAATTACAAAAAAATCAACCCTGTTTTTGAAACGTTTTGGTTTTTAAGTAAATGAGGCCCAGTAGTGTTTAAAAAATTGCAAAATCTTTTATTATTATTTTTTTTAATGTTTTTTTTTCTAAACAACCAACACCAAAAAATAGTTAGAAAAAGTAAATTTTTTTTCATTCTTTTGAATATGTTATTTTTTGTTTTGCACAACTAATTTGTGCTTGTTTAAAAAAAAATGGGTTTGCAAAAAAAAAAATTGGCTTGTTTAGAAAAAAATTGTTTTGTATAAAAAAATGAGTTTATTATTATTTATCTATTCTACTTATTTATATAGAACTAAAAAAAAGAAAAAAAAAACAGCATCGGCTCTACAATACTAGCTACGAGTTCTAACGAGTGCCATTTACACCGTTAACTGAAAAATAACGGGCCATATTTTTAAAGCACTTTCAATATAACTAACTTTCAATACACTTGAAATATAAATAATTTATAAATACAAAAAAAAAAAAATAATATTATTATTAATACACAAAAAGATAAAAAATAATAATTATACACAAAAACATTAATACAAAATATTTAATATATAATATGATTCACTCAGACTCATTTTTAATGCCATTAATTTAGTCCATTAATTAGCATGTACTATGTCATTTATACTTCGCATATAGCAATAATAATAATTTTAATATTTTAATGTTTAAAAAACTAAAATTTTAAGTATGTTAATGATCCCTTCTAAAAGACTTAAATAGTAAATAAAAAATATTTGTTTTAATGGAAAAACTTAAGTTGAAGCAAATTTTATTAAACAATTTAATTTAATTTTTTGTTTTTAATTCTTTTTATTTTTAAATATTTTTTTTAATAGTTTTTTTTTAATTCTTTAATTTTTTTTTAACTATTTTATATATTTTTTTTTATATTTTAATTAATAACATTTTTTTATTCTCATACTTTTTTTAACTAATATATTTTTAGTTATCATTATTAATTATTTTTTTTTTTAAACTTCCGTATACGAGATGTGTTATGACTTACCCCAGCGGCAAAAAAAAATCGTTGCAATTTAACGTTAAGCTTTTGTACTTTTATTGATAAAAGTCTATTGTAATGTAAAAATAAAATTTGTTTTACTTAAACCAATTCACTATTAGACATGTAAATATATTTATTATTATTTAACAATCATAAAAAACAATTTTATAATTGGGGTATAGCAAACCTCATCTAGTACAGCATTGTGAGATTGGTCACCTCGTATACGGAAGGTTAATTTTTATATGTTTTTTTCTTGTTTAATTTTTGTTTATTTAATAATTAATTATTATTTATTTTTTTATTGACTATATATATTTTAATTGATTAAATATTTTTTATATGTAATTTATTTATTTTATAATATATTTTTTTAATTATTGCAATATTTTCTTTTTTTTGTTTATTTATTTTTATTGATTATATAATATTTTTATATCAATATATTTTTATTATTATTTCAAAAATATATATTTTATACATTTTGGATTTTATTTAACTAATTTTCTTTTACTACTGTTTTTTTTTTTGTTTTATTGTTTGAAAAAAAAATTACTTCTTTGATTATTTTAACTTGTTATTTCTTTTATATATGTCTATTAAATTTTTCTTAATATTTATTTATTATATATATTTTATTATTCACTAGTTCTATTTATTTATATTTTTATTTATTATTTATTATAATTTTATTATATATTTCTATTTTATTATTTTTTCTCTGCAAAATTAAATTTTCTATCATTATAATAATTATTTTATTTTTTACTCGGTTAGTTTTTTTATAATAGCATAAAAAAATTGGGTGGAAAAAATCCAGTTTCTAATTTAAAAATCCTTCACGAGCACTTTTTAAATAACTTGTTGAAAACACCTTCCTAAACTTCATTAACAGCTCTGCAGATAGCAACTAACATTAAAAATATGTAAATACAGAAGAAAGAAAAAGTAACCAAAATATTGGTAAAATTAAAAAATCATAGAAAATAAATGAAATTATAACAAACGAATAAAAATTAACGGTAAAAAGTGTTAAGGCGGGATTTAGTATTTTTTTTTTATAAAAGCCACAATTTTCTTTTAGAAATTTTTTTTTGTTACAAAAATAACTACTATTTTATTCAAAAAAATATTTTTTTTTACAAAAGCCACAATTTTCTATTAGAAAAAAAATTTTTTTTTCTTACAAAAACAACAACAATTTTCTATCAGAAAAAAAATGTAGTGCAAAATAATGAAAATATAAATGAATAAATATTTCCGAACTTCACCAAGCTAGCCGAATAATAGTAAATCCGCCATTTTGAATTCCGAGTAAGCCTGTTTGTGTATATAGGTATATAGCCTTTTTTCTTAAATTGTATCTATTAAAAGATCAAAAAGCTATCTCAATCGGCAAAAAAGCAAATGCAAACCTTCAGATATGTGCTTATCGACAATGTTGCTATACACATGTTGATAGACTCATATATGTTTATGTTGATAGACGCATATGTTTGCATGCTTTAAACTGGATAACAAGAAAATGCACAGATACTAGTATGTACTAACTGAATATAGTTTTATAAATAAAAATTCTATATCTTATTAATTTTTACTAAAATTTTCATATCATCTGCATACATCTATCATTTCCAAAAAAAAATAAAACATATTTTTATTTTAAGTTTTGAATATAAATAAATATAAAAGTATGAAAATACTGATTGATAACTGTGAGCCAAAATCTACACTTAACTAAAAATATATGATAAAAAATACGAGAAAAATAATTTCAAAAATTCTGAAAAAAAATCATAAAATTTCTGAAAAAAAATTTTAAAAATTCTGAAAAAAATTATAAAATTTCTGAAAGATTAAAATTAAAAATCAGTTTTTCTCACATGCTTTTGGCGCTAAGTATTATTTTATTTTATTATTTTCTATTTTAGTTAGCTATCGCAGAGGATATTGAGGACTTCATCTAAGCTGACTGGCTTTGAACGATAAACAGCATGGAAGAACGCAACAGCAAAAAAAAACCAAAAAAATAATGCAATATTTTTTATTATTTATTAATTAATAATTATTTTTTTAAACATATTTGGTTTTTTATTTACGTTTCTTAATTATTAATTTATGTTTATAATTTATTTTAGTTTTATTATTTCAATTTCATAATTTTTTCAATTGTTTAGACTTTAAGAAATCTTTTTTTTAAATTATTATTTTTTTTTTGTTTTGAATTAATGTGCAGTTTACGCCTGCTTTTTGAACCTAACAGTCTGACACAAAAGAGTTGCTACTAAAATCTCTATTTGTATAGAGTTCTCTTACGACACATATTATATTTAACAACTTGATAAAAAAAATGATAATAAATTTAAAATTTATAAAAAATAATTTATTAAAAAAATAATAACAATATTAAACAAAAATTATTATTTATTAATACATAAAGTTTGGAAATAAAAAATTTTAAAAACATTATTGTAAATAACTAATGTAAATTGTTATTAGCTATTAGAGGCAATTTAAAATATTTTTAGTAATAAATGTTTAAAATATTTAATAAACAATTGTTAACAAAAAATTATTATAAATGTACCAAAAGTAATATAAAACGATTTGGTTTCGAATGTTACACATAAAAACTCGTAAGCAATAAAACACAAACTCAACGCGACATTAATTAATTTTTTATATAATATATATACAACAACAAAGATAACGTTTTTATAGATTTAGAAGATGTAAGGTATTTATTTATTAATGATAATGTTAACACAATTTGTAACAAATGTATGTATGTAAATAACTCGTGTTTTTATATTCATAAAATGTAATTATATTTATCAAAAATAAAAAACGAATTTTAAAATAAATATTTTGTTTAATTTTTATACCCTAAACAGAGTATTTTAAGTTTGTAACAACTCGAAGGAAACGCCGCAGACTCTGTAAAGTAAATACATATGTGTTAGCGATCTGCGTTAAGATCTGAGTCTCTTTAGCTATGTCCGTCTGACTGTCTGTATATACGCAAACTAGACCCACAGTTTTTGAGATAACGATTTGAAATTTCGCACACATCCTTTGCTCCCCAAGAAGCTGCTCATTTGTCGCAACCGCGCGACAACGGACCACTATAGAATATAGCTGCCGAACAAACTGAACGATAGAAAACATGTACTTGTATGGAAAACTTTTTATTTGACAAGATATCTTAATGAAATTTGGCACGCATTATTGTTTAAGGCAAATCTACAATCTCCGAAGAATTTGTTTGGATCAGACTACTACAACATACACCTGCCATATAAACTAATCGATCAAAAACAAGCTCTTGTATGGAAAACTTTTTTATTTGGTAAGATATCTTCACAAAATTTGGTATAGATTATTATCTAAGGCAAGGCTACAATTTCTGACCATCAAATCCTCGTATGAAAAACTTATTTGGAAAGATATCTTCATGAAATTTGGCATTGACTATTGTTCAAGACAGCGCAACATACGTTCGGACATATTGTTCGGATTGGACTACTATAGCTTATAGCTGCCATATTCTTGTATACCTTTATATGCTATAAGAACTTCACCAGCTCTAACAGAGCAGTGAAATAGTCAACCATAAAAAGCATAACAACAACAACAAAACCACATATTTAAACTTTAGACAAAGCTTTAAATATATGTAGCAGAAATTGGATGCTATTGTTGTAGTAGCAACATAAAACATTACCCAAACAGTTAAGTAGCAACAGAGAACGTTGAATAATTATTGATTAATTAATTGCTGTTATTATTAATTAATAATTGCTTTAATTATTAATTGATTTAATAATTATTAATAAATTATTCTACGTTCTCTGCTGTATGCGTTATTGCATACTTTTAGGCGCGCAAGTAAAAGAAAAACTCGTTAATTATTCGAAATAAAAATAGTTTATTGATATTTTTAGATTTCATGATGTGTTTCGACGTGTACGCAAAGCCAATGCGGTGTATGTTGCATGAAAAAGTTTAAAATTGTAAACATTACATATGGACTAATATGCTAAAGCAACAGTTTTTATTTTTCAAAATAGTTTTGAGTATTTTTTTTTTCGTTTTTGCTGTGAGTATATAAAATATTCTTTGCATAAATATACAAAATTGGTGCATTATGTAATTGCATTTGTTAGTTTTTACGCTGTTAGAATTGGACGTACCAAAGCGTTATGCAAATATTTGCAATATTTTGGAAAATAATTGGCATGACAGTGCAGACGCAGTGCTTAAAACAATATCGTTATTATTATTATTTTTTTTTTGTTTTCTTCTTCACATCGTAGGCTAACTAAAATATAAGCGCTTGTTGCTATAAATACCACTAAACGCCTACTTCGATTGTGCTAAGCTCTAGCTATTCAGCATTTTTTTGGTGTTTTTTTTTGTATATTATTTTATTATTTATTTTTTTGTGTTTTGTGTAGTTTTTTTTTTGTATAATTTTTTTTATTATTTTTTTTGTTTCATTTTTATCATAATTTTTTTTTGTTTCATTTTTATTAAACTTTTTTTTTGTTTCATTTTTATTATAATTTTTTTTTAAATTCATTTTTATTATACTTTTTTTTGTTTCATTATTATTTTTTGTTTTGAAACTGCTGCACAATTGTGTAGATATGATTAGTATTCCAAAAATACTTTTATTACCACTATTCGTTTAAAATGGCACAACATTTTTACTAATTAGTTGTTATGTAATTCCATTTAAGGTAATACTTAAATTTGGCGACTAAAAAAGTTAAAAGGACTCACTTAAAATAAAATGCTTACTTCAATATGCACTTTTGTGTGTGTGTGTGGAGGGTTGCAAATTTTTTATGCAAAATTTTGGGATTAAAAATTCAACTTTCATGATTCTCATGATTTATCATGAATACATTTTCCATTAAATTTTAAATTTTCAATCCCGAAATCGAAATTAAAAATTAAATTTTCAATTTTAAGAAATTTTCTATTTAATTTTAAATTTTCAATTCCAAAATCGAAATTAAAAATTAAATTTTCAATTTTAAGAAATGTTTTCTATTTTTAGAAATGTTCTTTTTATTTATAAATTTTTGAAAATATACATGAAAATTGAGAAAAAAAATTTTTAAATTCAAAATTGGAGTTAACAACGAAACAAACAATATATTTTTTAAATTTCAACCCTAAACATGTGATTAACATTTTTTATTCGCTTTTTAGTGTTAAAAAATTAATTTTTAATTTTTGGCGCCACTTTTGGTTTTTTTTATTTTTTACTTTTTATTCGGTTGTGTATTAATATTTAGTTTTGGTCTGATTTTTGTGATAAACTTATTTTCAATGCGGTTTTTTGAATAAAAATTAAATTTTTATTTTCAATCTTCTTATTACTTTTTATACCATATTTGGTATTAGAAGCTTGAAAACTAATTTTAATTAAATTTTCGGGTTACCAAAAAAAATTTATTCAAATGTGGCTGTAATTATTTGTTAATACATTATTTGCAACCCTGCATGTGTGTATGCAAATGCACTCTAATTTATTTTTATATGAAAATTCATAAGCGCTAAAATTGCACTTTTCACGTTTTTGTTGCTTTTAAATTATTTATTTCATTTTTCGTATTCGCCAAATATTTTCGCATGCGTAAAAGCGGCTGTGCGTTGTGTACATATTTATGTAATATATGTATATTTTTTAATTTACTGTTAGCTATTACAAAATGTTATCTTATACGGTAGCTACTTCGACTATTATAACAACAGCTTGCTATTCTTTGGTATTTGATATTTTTACTATAAGTAATTTAGTTTTAAAAATACGATATTTTACTAAGCTAAAAATGCAAGTTCATTTATCATTTTGTCAGTTCATAGCAAAATAAAAGCAACAATGTCTTTCAGTCGCATACAAATTGTTTACACATTGCATATGTTGTGCGCATGCGCAACTGCGCTCTAAGTGTTAACTAATTAGCACAATGTTATTATTTGTATATGCTAATGACGATTACTATAAAACTGATTGATGCCTAATACGTGCTTCTCTTCGTGATATTTCTGCAGGATATGTGTAATAACGGAGGTGGTGTCGTTGTCGCCACCCCAAACGCGTATCGAGTTCTCATTTTCGAGTATGGACAGAAAGGCTAAGCAGAAGAATTTATTTGAATATAATGTTTATAGCATAAAACACATCGAGCACATACCTATTAGTATTTTAGGGTTACTTAAATTCATCTGTACTTGCGGCATTTCGAGTATGGCTTTGAGTATAGGTGAATCTTGCGATAAGCCTTCACGCAGCTCAATCAAACTGCCCGTACGATTGCCACAAAGCCACTCACATGCCGCTGCTTTATTATTGCAAGTCTTTTTTAAAGCTTTCAGCACCTCAGTCTCTTCAAAACCCATCTCTACTAGTGAGTTAATAGTTTCCGGCGTAGGCGGCATATCACGATGACTATAGATGCGCACTATCTCCAGTAAAGCTTCGGTGTTTTCAACAATGCTCTATAGTTAATTGAATTAAATGTATGATAAAAATTAATAAATTAAACAACAACAATTTGTGGTAATTTACATCATTAGTGAGTATGCCCGAAGGTGAAAGCACCGATTGGCTCTTTTGCAGACCCATAGCTGCTTCCTCTAACGAACTCTCTTCACTCTGATGTTGTATCAGCCACTCCAGCGCAGTGGAGTAGACACCTCTATAGGAAGTAAGCAGCATATACTTTAAACATTGCAACTAATAATATATTTATATAATAGATAAAGCACTTACTGCGTAACTTTGAGCGCATACTCGGCCTTCTCCTTTTTAAAACCCATATCGACAAGGCACTGCAGTGTATCATTCTGATAGTTACGTTTGTTGATTAGCTTTTGCTTAAGCATCGCTATCAGCCGTGTGGCATATGGTCCCGCGCCTATAATGGCTGCAGAAGCTTGCGCCAATGAGATGAGCACCTTACGCACGTCGAATTGCAGCTGCAAAACAACAACCCAAAATAAAAAATTATACATTCAATGCAGTAATCGGAAATGCGTAAGCTACACTCACATTAGATTGCTGAAATATCTCATTGATATCCACCATGGGCATGTCCACCGTATGCGGCAGTACATTACGCGTGGCCGTATTGATTTCCAAATCACGCGGCGCTTGCAAATCGCGCGTCACTGCAGTCATATGTTGTAGATGTTGCCGTCGCGGCACCAGCGATAACATCGCGTTGTCTTCAATTTTCAATTGCGCCAGCGTCATGGTTTCGTTCAATTCGGCACCTTGGTATTCAGCGCGCATTATGCGATAACGTGGCCCCAGCTGCCGCACATCAGTCGCGAATAGCGGTAAGGCGCTTGCATCATCGGATAGTTCAAGCATTACCTCGTTTTTCAGCTCGGCGATGCGTTTGTTTACGTCTGTTTGGAAAATTAGTACACGTGCGCTGGGGCAAATGACACGCACCCGTATATTTTGTTTAGTCACATCACGTTCGATGTTGTCGCTGGAACCGTGTGTTGCAGAGTCTGAGCTCGAAATGCCTGATGAGCGACGTGAGCCTCTTCTGTAAAATTAACAAAAAAAAAATTAATTAAATAAAATATATCGTTTTAAATAAGTTAGGCCACCCTGTCTGTCATATAATAACCGTTTGTCGTACTTAGAAAATAAATTTCGCAGTTTCTGCATATTTAGGTGCTGCAATTCGTTGGGCGTGCAATAGCTCTCGTTTATACAAATTTTGACAGCGAATTTAGAAACTAGGAAAATTGTATTTTATTTTCTATTTTGCTAAGCTTACTCACATTTTTGACACACGACGTGGCTGCGGCGTGAGTGTAGGAGTTGCATGCTGTAGCTGTAGCTGTTGTGACTGTGACAACGTCTGCATCGTGGATTGCCCGACACGCGTTCCTTGCGTTTGATGTAGCCCACGTATAGGTGTTGTTGGCACGAGACTACGGTTACGTCGTTGTGGTGGCGCCGTGTGACGCGCTGGTGAGACACTATGCTTTATATGTTGCTCGCATGCTACAGTTGTTGTAGCGCCTGCTGTTGTATTTGAATTGGCACTTGTGGTACGTAAACCATCAGTTGTTCGACTGCATGTCGCTTGTGCAGCACCTGTTTTATCCTCACCGGCGGTTCGTTTATTGCGTGCCGCCCACCTGGCACGCATCCAAGGGATCATTAATAAATAATAATTTTTACTGAACGTTGTTATGTTAAAATGGTAATATGGACGCCAGGTGACTGTCCAATTCAGTTAACGGTTTTTCAGTTGGCACGGGCGTCAAGGACATACTGGAGTTAGTGGTACAGACATTGCAATAAACAGCGAATTGTTTCAACTTTATGACCCCACATACTTCGTTTGTGCATAGCTGAATAGAAAAAATCGTGAATTATTAATAAATACCAAACAGTACTACAGTAAAAAACGCTCGGATTTGGATACAATAAAGCGAGTTTTACAAACATAATGTTACCTTCTAAATTTGCAACTTTTTAACTTATTTTTAATACAATTTTGCGAATGTTTTCGGTATTATTCTATAATTACAAAAATATTTATTTTTCTTTCTAAATAATCAACTTTTTCCCTTTTGTTTTGCTATCGCAGGTTTTTCTCTTATCAAGCAATATAGTGGTGCTGCTAAGTAATTGAAATTCAACGGCGGTAAAATATAAATTTACTATAATTGCAGGCAATAAGCTAATATAACCGGTAGATATTACAAATTATTTTTTAGTATTCGATAGGTGGAAGAAAACAATTAAACAGACATTTTAAAATACAAAAATATTATCTAAAAGTCAATGCCAAAGCACCAAAATGGCACATACAGATAGATTGTTAACTGGTAAGACTAAATAACAGATTTTTAATATGTTTACTATTAATAGTAAATAATAGGAAAAATATTCTGATAAAGCATCTTTAAGTCTAACTTATTATTTAAATATTTATCACAGAATCATCGTACATAAAATTTTACATTTTTAGCAGAATAAACGATTTGTTTCTGGAGTTGTTATACATAACTGCATTGTCAACATATTGTTTTATATACCACTTAGTCTATTCTTCATTTTTGTTTAATTTATGTTTGAAGTTTTTCAACATTAAATGATTATACAAATGCTAATTTTGGCAATAATTTATATACACCAAAAAAAATGTCTTGACATATCTTCCAATTCTAAATTTTAATTACAATTGCAACTCTGTGTTGGCGCAATCACATTCTTGCCGATAAAAGGTTTCGATTAGTTTATTCGACTTTTCTGCGCGAGTGAGCGTTGTTTGTGCTGCGGTGATTGAAAAATTTTGTTGAAATATTGCTGGAAAATCGATGATATTTCTAATTACTAATATTAGAATTCATATAATTTAAAGAAAAAGTGTCTTATCAAAGTGATTGTGTGTGTTGGAAGATTATTAGAAAATACTTACAGTTCGCTGAAAGTTTTGCGTGTAAAGCCAAATAATTACATGTGTGCGTGGAATGAATGGAAAAAGTAATCGAAAGAAAGAGAAATAAGAACGTATAAACAGGAGATAGGAAAGAGTAGCAGACGACAAAGGGAAGAATCGCCATCACCGTCGACAACGGCATTTGAGCAACAGCAGAATAAATAAAATTAAAGCAAATGTTATAATGGAAATTTGCAAATTAAAAAGTTGTAAATACATTTAAATAAATAAATACTACACCTTATAGTCAAGCACTCATGCTTATTTATGTACATAAGGAGTGTTGATAACATTGGCATATTTTAAAAGATATGAACTTACAAAGAATTACGCATGGTTAGGACGCGGCAGCAGTGAAAAAAAAAAACTTGCTAAGCACGAAAAAGGGATACATAGGTATTCATGCGTACAAACGTTCGCATATGCGGTAAGTAAGCAGGTAATATTTCTGCTATGCTCCAAGCATACACAAGAAATGTGAGTCGACGCAAAACTTGACCGAAACACCTTTTTTTTCTGCTCCACACTTCTGCCAATACAAATGAATAAGCGCTTTTTGCGTTGGTTAATATGTATGTTTGTTTTTTATTATGTACATTTTAGCAGTTTGTAGTTTATTTGTGCTCGTGGCAATTATCTCAAAGCCTTTCATTTATTTGTTGTTGTTTTTTGTTACCATAATGCTTTCTATGCGTTGTTTTCAATTGTGCGACGCTTTTCCGGTTGTGTTCTGCGTCACAACGACAGCCAACTGATTCTGAGAATTGTGTGCCATTATGTATGTGTCGTGAATCCTGGCTATAATTTTATATGTTGCTTTTCTTATGTAGGTATTTCATAATTGAATTTAAATAAGGAAGTAAAAGTTAATTTTTGATAATATTTGGAGTAATAGTATATAATTGTTCTTGATTTGGTTAGGAAACAAAATGTTTTTATTTTAACATTCATATGCATTAATTGCTGTGCAAATTATCTTTAAATTCGTTTAAAAATTCAAAATATCTATAAAACAATAAATAAATTTTGCCGTCGATAAACAACTAACAAATCGTCGGGCACGTCATTAATACATACATATAAGTTTTTTTTATTTTTTTTTTATTTTTTTTTTTTTTTTTTTTTTTTTTTTTATTTTTTTTTTTTTTTTTGTTATAAACAAATTAAGATAAAGATATTTTCTACCCTTTTAGGTTATAAGAAATGCACCTGTGAAGGGTATACCAGTTTCGATGCAACCGAAGTTAACGTTTTTTATTGTTTTATCTTAATTTAGATAAATTAATTACCTTCAGATAATATTTTTGTATATTCTCTTGCAGCACTCTCAACGCCTATAAGTAATACTCTATCAATTAGCCAAAGTACATAAACTGCTCATAATCTAACGATAGCTGATATTTCAAAAAATTCGTTTAAAAATAAGAACTACACAAAGAAAAAGTTAACTGCCATTTAAAAGAGAATACAATTCAAAAACAAATAACAAACAACGACCTAAATAACAAAGGGTCATTAAAAAGTTGATACTTCAATAATTCGTGTTAAGTAATATCAGGTAAGTGGAAAACTCCTTTTTTCTATTACTTGTAAATATTATTAGACATGATCCTTTCGCAGCATAAATTCACAAACTTTTCTTACAGTTTGTACAATTCCAAGATGTGGAATTCCGATTCACGTTCACAGAACGGTGTGAGCATTTCATCGACTGGCTCACCCAGTTATGGCGGTTACAATTCCAGCAATGGAAATGGTAGAAATGGTTCGCCACATCATCAGCAACAACACCAGCAGCAGCAAGTTAAGCAGCTGGGCATGACATCTGCCATCAGCTTGGCAGAGCCACGTACTGAAGATTTGCAGAAGACCGAAGAACTACGCAAAGCTTTAGAACCGTTTAAAGTGTTCGAAACTCAAGACGAGCTTAATCATCGTATGGAGATCTTAGCCAAACTCAATACGCTGGTCAAACAATGGGTTAAAGATGTCTCTATGTCAAAGAATATGCCCGAGGTAGCCGCCGAGAAATTAGGTGGCAAAATTTATACTTTCGGTTCATATCGCCTGGGCGTACATCATAAGGGCGCCGATATTGATGCGCTTTGTGTGGCGCCGCGCAATATCGAACGTACAGATTATTTTACATCATTTTTTGATTTGTTAAAAAAACAATCCGAAGTGACAGAGTGTCGTTCGGTGGAAGAGGCTTTTGTGCCGGTTATAAAAATGAATTTTGATGGTATTGAAATTGATTTGTTATTTGCGCGTCTCTCGCTCAAAGAGATACCGGATGACTTTGATTTGCGCGATGACAATTTGCTTAAAAATCTAGATCCACGTTCGGTACGCAGTTTGAACGGTTGTCGAGTGACCGATGAAATTCTGGCGCTCGTGCCAAATATCGAGAATTTCCGCTTGGCGCTGCGCTCCATCAAGTTGTGGGCGAAAAGTGAGTATGAATTGGATTTTTTTACTTTAAAATTTTCATATGCTTTAATTTTTTTTTTTAAATCTCTTTCATAATACAGAACATGGCATTTACTCAAATTCGCTGGGCTACTTTGGTGGCGTGACGTGGGCTATGTTGGTAGCGCGCACCTGCCAACTATATCCAAATGCTACAGCCTCAACGCTGGTGCATAAATTCTTTTTGGTCTTCTCCCGCTGGAAGTGGCCAAATCCTGTGCTGCTCAAGCACCCTGATAACGTTAATTTACGGTTTCCGGTAAGTAAGAGCGCAAATGCTTGCATTTTGGACACACAATTTGTATCACAATATTTACCAATGGAATTTTTTTTACAAAAATTTTTTATAAATTTTTTTTTCTGTTTTATTTTATATATTTTTTACTTTATTTTATATATATTTTTTAAATAATTATTTATATTCTAATATTTTTTTTATAATTTTTAATATATTTTTTTTTAAATAAATTTTTATTTATTTTTTTATAATTATTTTTTTGTTTATTTATAAAATTTTTTTTGTTTTTGTTTTATACTTTTTTGGTATAATTGTTTTTCGTATAATTTTTAAATATTTTTTTTTTTTAATTTTTTTTAATTGTTTTTTAATTCTTAAAAAATTTTTTTTTTAATTTTGTTATATATAATACTTCTTTTCTGATTTTTTATAAATTTTCTATAATCTTTTGTTTTTTTTTGTATACTTTTTTTTATATATTTTCTATAATCTTTTTTTTGTATATTTTTTCAAATATATTCCCATTTTTTTTTGTATATTTTTTCAAATATATTCCCTTTTTTTTTTGTATATTTTTTCAAATATATTCCCATTTTTTTTTTGTATATTTTTTCAAATATATTCCTTTTTTGTTTGTATATTTTTTCAAATGTATTACAAATTTTTTCAATATTTGTTTTTATATATTTTTGTTTATATATATTTTTTTATATATATATTTTTTTTATATATTTTTTTATATATTTGTTTATATATATTTTTTTTTACAATTTGTATATATTTAGGTTTGGGATCCACGTGTAAACGCTTCGGATCGCTACCATCTTATGCCGATCATAACGCCGGCATATCCACAACAGAATTCCACATTCAATGTATCGGAATCTACAAAGAAAGTTATACTTAATGAATTTAATCGTGGCATGATTACCACGGATGAAATTATGCTTGGACGTGCTACGTGGGATCGTCTCTTCGAAGCGCCAAGTTTCTTTTACAAGTATTTACTTGCAAATTACATGCAACTGTGTCAATATATAATAATATTTCGTTTTTTCTTAACAGATACCGCCACTTTATAGTGCTTTTAGTCACATCACAGACAGGCGATGATCAGCTGGAGTGGTGTGGCCTAGTCGAATCAAAGATTCGTCTATTAGTAGGTAATTTAGAGCGTAATCAACACATTTCATTGGCACATGTAAATCCAACATGTTTCGACTATAAGAAAATCGCTGTTAACACACAAGTTAACAGCGGCAATGAGGATGATAAAACACAGTCGGGTGGCAATCCGACAGTTTCCCCTACGCCATTCTGTTCGATGTGGTTCATCGGTTTGGAATTTGAACGCACCGAGAATTTGAATGTTGACCTCACAGAAAGTATACAAAACTTTACCGAACATGTCATACAACATGGCGTGAGTAGCATAGTTGTTGTAATAATCTTTATATTTATTTTTAATTAATTTTTTTTATTTGTTACAAATTTAGGTAAACATAAAAATGCTAAAAGATGGCATGCATATTGAAGCGCGGCATGTGAAGCGTAAATCGCTTTCGCAGTATTTGGATACGGATTTTTTGAAGCGTGAACGCAAATCCATGGAACAGCATAATAATTTTAATAATGCAATTTTAGCGAATCGCAAACGTTTGTCGACGGAATTGTCTACACAGAAAGAGGGGGGTAGCACTAAAAAGGCGCGCTTAAGTGAATCGGTGAGTATATAAGTAGATAAGAGCTAGATTTGGAAAGAAATATGTTGAATGGTTAATATAATGATAATGTTTATATAAAAAATACTTGAAAATTATTATCCTACAATATAATTTTAGAAACATTTTCACAAATTTTAATTTTGAAATTTGAATGTGCAATGTAGAATGTAGAAAGAAAAAAAAAATTAATGACTAAAAAATGTTAAAAGGTAGTTTTCTTATTTATTTTTTTTTTATTAATTAAAATTTTTTTTTGACAATTTTTTTTTATATTAAAATATTTTTTTAATAACAAACAAAAAACAAATAAATATTTTAATATATAAAAAAGAAAAAATATTTATTAATTTTGTTTTGTATTAAAATATTTTTTTTAATAACAAAAAAAAAACTAATTATTAATTTTGTTTTGTATTAAAATATTTTTTTAATAACAAAAAAAAATTTTGATATAAAAAAGTAATTTTCTTATTTGTTTTAAAAAAATTAATTAAAAAAATTGTTTTTTTATAGTATTAAAATTTTTTATAAGAACTAATATTTTTTTATATTATTGGTTTTATTTATTAAAACTAATATTTTTGTCAAAAATTAATTTTTTTTTTAAATTCCTTTTAAAAATTCGTTGAATTTTAAAATTACTTTTGTTTTTAAATATTTGCTTAATGAAAAAGTGGAACAATTTAAATATTCAAGATTTTGTGGAAACTCTGTTTTTTTTTTTAATATTATTAAGATATTTTTTATCAAAAATTAATATTTAATATTATTTAAAATTTTTTTATATAAAATTTATAATTTTTAATTTGCAATAATTTTTTTTATCTAAAATTAATATTTTTTAATGTATAGAATTAATATTTTTATTTATAAAAATTATTATTAGTTTTTATTTACATAAATATTTTTTTAACTATTTTTTTATAAAATTTTTTGTTTTTTATATTTGGTTATCAAGGGGTGTAATAAATAAAATAGTAAAAAAAATTAATAAATTTTCAAAATTAATGTCTAGAGAAAAAAGTAATTATCCTTTATTTTATATATTTTTCGTTGTTTTTTTATGTTATAAAAATTAATATTTAAAAATATGGTTTTCCCTAGTTTTTTAACCACACTTTTGCAAATACAATTAACATAACGATTTTGTTTCATTTATACTAGCAAACGGAGGAGAACTCAAATGCGTCAAGTGATACCGGTGGCATAACGCCGACCACACAACCGACTAGTGCACCGAATTTCACGCCCGATGCAAAGAGCAGCACCAATAACGGTGGAGCTGGCTCGGGCTCTGGCTCCGGTTCGAATTCGCCACGCAACAGCAATGGTAATGGCGGTAGCAACAGTGTCAACAATCAAAACACAAATAGTAATAGCAATAGCACAACAACAACAGCTGCAACTGCTGCTGCTACCGCGGAAGTGGCCTGCTCGTGACCGACGCTCACCACAGTACCGAATCCAATACCGCCGTCGCTGCCGCAACCGCCGCCGCCGCCACAACAACAACAAACACAATCTCATTATATGTCGCATTCACTTCATAACACCATACACAACACACACGCCACACTCCATCACACACACTCATCCATCGTCTCTCATTCACAGAAATTTCGCAAAAACAATAATGCCGCAGCCGTTGCCAATTCAAATAGTATATTTAGTCAGCGTGCCACCTCAATACCGGGACACACCAGCAACACTGCAGCAATGGCATTCAAGCAAGGTTTGCCCACGGCCTCGTCCATCTACCAAAGGAACAATAATAGTCGACGTTTGCAACATCATATGTCTGCTTCGGCTGGTATGTTGGGTGTATTGGGTGGTAGTGGCGGTGGTGGTGTGATTGGCGGTGAGAAGCCGCTAACATTTTCCACCTCAAAATCGACAACTGCAAATGCAAATGCCAACAACAATCAGCATCAATATATGAACTATACAAATTGCGACAACAACAATAGGAATAGTAGTTATAATGCCGGCGCTGCGGCTGCTGTTGCTTCAAACGCTGTTGTTGCTAGCAACGCAACAGTAACAGCCACCATTCCCAATAGCAACGACAACAACAATTATAGTTACAATAACTCATGCAACACAACAACAACAGCGGACGCCGATGACAGCGACGATCTGTTTATGATGAGCGATAACACTACAAGAACAACAACAACAACTATTAATTGTAAGTTTTTAATACAGCAATACTATTTATTATTGACTTTTAGCGTCAAGCAGAGAGAAAGTATTATGACTGGATACCGATTTTTACCTCTTATGCTCCTATTTCTCCTCTAACTGTACCTATTTATATACATATATATATACCTGTATTTTATCGATTTACTTTAATTTACATATTACTTTTATTGCGATTTTACACGTACAATTTTTACAGAAAAAAATATTTCTCAGTGAAGTATAGAAAAATAAAATAAAAACAAAGAAATTTAAAAAAATATTAAAAATGAAAAAAAAACAAAAAAAAAAAGGAATAAAAAGAGATATATTTTTTTAAATAAAAAATTATACAATAACGATTTTTTACAAAATAATAAAAATAAAATGCAAATAAAAAAATTACAAAAGTACAAAAAAAAAAGAAATGTGAAAAAGCAAAACAAAATCTTATTTTTATTATTAATTTTTATTGATTTTTTTTTACTGTTGACTTCTTTGATGGCAAGGCGAAAATTTGTATTTAAAAAACAAAAAAAGTTGAAGGTTAGTAAGCTGCAATTATAGAATATTCGAATTATTTGAAAGAATTCTAAATAAGAATTATCTATTAATCAGGGTTGCGAATTGTTAAGTTCAAAAATTTTGTATTAAAAATTACATTTTTGATCCTAATTTTAGATTTTTTTTTGAGGTTTGGTATTAAAAATTTTTTGTTTTAATTTAATAGTAAAAATTTAAAATTTTGTTTATTTATTTTTAAATTTAATAGTAAAAATTTAAAATGTAATTTGTAATTCCAAAATCAGAATTTGGGCAAACGCGAAAATATGTAAATTCTAAAATAATAATCTTTTTTAATTTGTAATCATATGTTTGGGATCAGGATTGTGAATTTTTTGATTAAAAAATTTTTGATTAAATATAAAATTTTTATTTTCTAGTACTGATGTTGCTATTAAAAATTAGATATTCTCTTTTGAGCCCCGATGTTGGGATTAAATTTTCATTTTTTAATCCAAGATGATTGAAAATTGAAAATCTAATTTTTTGATTTAAATAATTTTTTAATTCTAAAACATTTTTTTATTCTTAATTATATGCTTCAGATAAAAAATTTTATTTTTTATTTTTCATATATTTTTATTTTTGAACCGGTTTTTGGGTTTGAAACATTTTAGTTTATTTTTTAATATGTAAGGGGATTAAATTTTTTATTATTTTGATCTGGTGTGTGGAATTAAACTATTTGTTTTTATTTTTTAATCTTGTATTTGGGATTACAAAATAAAAAAAATTTAATTCAATTATTTTTTTAATGCATTATTTGCAACCCTGCATGAGATAAATTTTTTTTTGTATTTTTAATCCGGTATTTATGATTAAAAAGTAAAAATAAATCCGGTTTTTGGGATTACAAATTTTTATATTTTATAAAAAACTTTAAAAAATATTTTCAATTAAGCTTTTCTGGATTACAAAAAAAAAAAAGTTAACTCAAATGTTTAATCAATTATTTTTTAATGTTTCATTTGCAACCCTGTTGTTAATATATAATTATATACAATACTAAGGATTATATCCAGTTGCAAGTCAGAAAAGATGCGCTTTTTGAGATTTTATGATCGGCGCTTCATTTTGAAAAATTTTGGATTTCCTTGATTCCGTAGCCGATCTCCTCTAACCAACCTCCGATAAAAGTTGGCTGGCGATGAGGAAAATTTGTCTGCTTGAAACTATCTCAAATCTAAAAACCATACAAATTTATTATTACAATTTATAAATACAAATCGAAGGCCTAATAAAAATTTTTTTTTGACAAAATTACGGCGTCCAAATACAAAAGTCATTATACTTCAGAGTGGCTTAAAAAATCGAAATTATAAAAAAATATTCCTTCGATCATTATCTGACAAATATGTCTATATCCTTCGGACAAATTTTCCTCACTGACTCTGAAAACAGCGTTTTGAGTAAAACGCGTTTGTAGTTTTGGGGGCCGATAACACTAACTTAAAAAATTCTTGCAAATACGTTCTAATCTCCGAAACTATTTGCCGGATCAACTTCAAATTTTTAAAGGATATTTTCAAATATACATATGTTTGAACATTTGATATATATGTATGTATGGAAAAAAATCGATTTTTTTAAATTCACAAGTTTATACATAAAACCTCTTAAATATATTATATTGAAAAATATTTTTATAGAAACTCGTTATTTCTTAACTAAAAAAAAATATATTATTTAAATTAGTCGTCCAATTGCTAAAAAAAAAAACAATCTTTATTAGTATTAAAATATTGAAAATGCACAAAACAATATTATTGGCAGAAAATATTCATTCAAACAATTTCGCAAAAGATCAAAAAGCAAGTTATAGCTTTTAAACTTGCCATCAAAGTTAACATACCTATATAAGCATTTTATTAAAAGAATGTTGTGTTTAGCAAAGATTTGTACCGTATATTTAATGGGAAGTGAAATGTTTTTGAAAAGACAATTTAATATTATAAATAAGGTTCAACACGTTCCGAAGCTGTTCAATTTAATCAGTTACGTTCTAACTTTGAAGAAATGATAAAGATAGTACTAGAGCTTTTGCACAAGTGAAAGCTTTTATAGGTTTCGAAAAATTAGAGTCTATCTAAAATTTGGTGATTTATGTAAACTTAAAACTTTTTCAAAAGTCAAAGCTTTCACATGTTTAAATCGCTTAGTCAGCGAAAGCTTTCCTAATAACCTTATGTTTACTAAGTCATTATTTAGTGGTTTTACATTGAACTTATTCAGAATTCACCTGCTTCAAAACGCCTAAGATATTACCAGTGAAAAAAGTAATAAAAAGTATATAAAATTAATCTTTTTAATTTACTTATTTTAATTTACTTTAGATATAGATAGCCTATGAAAAAGAAAGCTTTCATAAATTCTCAGCCAGTTAATAAAAAATGCTATAATATGTATGCTTTGTTTTTTAAGGTTTCATGACTTGAGTGACTTTAGTTTGAGCTTTTTCGAAAGTCAAAGCTTTCATAAATTTGAAGTTAGCTTCCATAATTTTTTTTAGAATCATTTAAAACTTTCATAAATGACTTGAGTGACTTTAGTTTGCGCCTTTTCGTAACTCAATGCTTTCATGAATTTATTATGTAAGCTTTCCGGAATTTTTGCCAAATATTAAAATTAAATTTGCTTTTCGAATCCCCTAAGAAATGATTATATAGCCTGCAAGGTTTGGCCACAGTTCTAAGCTTAATTTTTGCTGTTAGAGAATTAAAGCCTTCATAAAACCAAAGGTCCTGGTTTTCATATAGTTTGGTGATGTATGAACACATCAGACACTCATTAGTCTTGTGTGGTCTATTTCTCTTCCTTTTCGATTTTATTTCCTTAGTGATGAGGAGAAGCTTCATATCCAGTGAAAAGAAGAATTAAAAACGTAAAGTTTCTAAGTCAGTAATTCAAAAAATTTAATTTGCTCCAATAAAATATTAAGTTAGATTTTGGTCATGATATAGATATATACTATTCCTTGGGGAAATAATATCCAACCTTATTAAAATAAAAATGTAATAGCTTTGACAAGATTGAAGCTTAAAAAAAATGTTTTTATTCATATACCTATTTTTATACCCTGAACAGGATGTATCACGTTTTTTTAATACCCAGAAAGAAGCGTCGGAGACTATAAAATATATATACTATAGGTATGATCAGCGTAATGAGCAGAGTCGATTTGGCCATATTCGTCTGTCTGTCTGTATATACGCGCATTATTCCCTCGATTTTGGAGATATCGAATTGAAATTTTGCACAGTTGCTTTTCTCCCCAAAACGCTGCTTTTTCGTTGGAACCGCCGATATTGGACCACTGACCGATCCAAATCAAGTTTTTGTATGGAAATCGTTTTTATTTGTGAAGGGTATTATAGTTTCGGTAAGGTAACCAAGGTTAACGTTTTTTAACAAACAAGTGACCCGCATCTATGGAACTGCCTGTTTAATATTTTCACGGTAAAAAAAAACAATGTTCTATATGAGAGTTAGACGATGTTACTCATCATTTTGAAAATAATCCAAGTTTGATATAATACTAAGAGTTTTTAAGTGTTAGATTTTTGTATTTGTAAATGCACATATATTTGTACTTGCCAACGGCACAGGTAAGCTTAGGTATTTGAAGGTCAAAGTCTGGTTTTCCAATCCAACATCGCAGGCAGATTGCTTTAAGCTACTACTCTAATTATGGTCGCCTGGTGGTATTTTCGTCTATTCCTATAATTTTCTTCTATAATTCTATTAGAAATCGTATCACTGAAAAATGACGTGATCAACTACTATTGGGGTAAGCTAAGTACATATATGCATATAAGGTTGTAAAAGTAGTAAGTAAAAGCTGAGCTGTTGTTTCTAACTGTTTTATATTTATTATATTAATATAAACATAATTTCTGCAAATAATTTCAATATAAACGAAAAACTAAAATATTTACATTTTTCTTTTCTTCTTTCTGTTTTTGACTCTTTCACAGCATAAAAATCTGTTAATTATAAGGAATCACATATATACACATAAATATATATATATATATAAATATATAGCCTAGCTTGTAAGGATACTTAAAGCAGCGAGTCGATGTGGTTAACCCAACCACAACCATTTGCGTGTATACATCTATATATACGGCCTATGGCTTAACTCCACAACTCATTTGTAAGTAAAAACTGTTAACATTTTTGAAAATAGTAAAAAAAACTTTTGAAAATTAGTAAAAAAAAATACATTTGTTTTTTAATTTTTGGAAAAATATTAAAACTTTTAGAAAATCATTAAAATTTTTTGGAAACTTTTAAGTATTTAGAAAATTATTAAAATAAATATAAAATTTACAAAAATTTTGAAATTAATATTAATATATTAAAATTTGAACAAAAATATTAAAAGTTTTAGAAAAATATTAAAATAATTAAAAAAAATTAGAAAAATATTAATATAAATTTTTTTTTTTTAATTTTTAGAAAAATATTAAAACTTAGAAAATTTTTAAATTTTTTGGAAACTTTTAAGTATTTAGAAAATTATTAAAATTTACAAAAATTTTGAAATTAATATTAATATATTAAAATTTTATTAATAATATTAAAAGTTTTAGAAAAATATTAAAATTATTAAAAAAAATTAGCAAAATATTAATAATATATTTTTTTTTTTAATTTTTAGAAAAATATTAATATGAATTTTTTTTTAATTTTTAGAAAAATATTAAAACTTTTAGAAAATTATTAAATTTTTTTGGAAACTTTTAAGCATTTAGAAAATTATTAAAATAAATATAAAATTTACAAAAGTTTTGAAATTAATATTAAAATTTGAAGAAAAATGTTAAAAATTTTAGCAAAATATTAAAATTATAAAAAAAAAGTTAGCAAAATATTAATATAATAATTTTTTTTTTTAATTTTTAGAAAAATATTAAAACTTAGAAAAATATTCAACTTTTTCCAAAAATATAACTAATATAAAATACTAAAATTGATAAAAATTTTAAAATTAAAAATATTATAATTTGAAAAATATTAAAATTTGCCGAAAAATATTAAAAATTTTAGAAATATATTAAAATGTATCAAAAAATACTAACATGTTTTTCGAAAAATATTAATATTGAAAAATTGTTTATTAAAGTTTTAAAAAAAAAATTTATAAAAATATTAAAAATGTTTAGAAAAATATTAAAATATGTAGAAAACATTTATTTAAAAATATTAAAATGTTTAAAAAAGTATTAATATAAAACAAATGTTTATTAAAATTTTAGAGAAAAATTAAAACTAAACAAAAATATTAAAATTTTTAGAAAAATATTAATATGTCCTTTTCTATTTTGCATTCACAGACACATTTAATTGCAATTATTGGCGTAGAGTAAAAGTTCATCGTCTTCAAAGTACACATACACATACAAATATGCTGATTTATAGCGGAGAAGAAGCTTAAAATGGCGTAAAAAAAACCAAGATTTGGCTACAGTTTCGAATCAAACGACACTACACGAGCGCTATACGCGGCACACACCGTTCTACATACATACATACAACGGGCCCGTTACTGTTTTGTTGGCTGTATGCTCCTCCCAACGTCGTACATGCAAACATATGTGTCTATATTGGCCAATACAATATGCTAAGCAACATTTTAGTCCTTCTTCCACATAGAACCCTCTACTACTACTACTACTCTTAAGCAACTCTACATGGATAACAATTCGCAATAATTGTTATTTAACTCTTTTTTTTGCAGCGATTTCGCAACGCATACAGAAAGCGTATGATTGATGCAAGCGCGGTGTTGCACCGTTTGACAACAAAAACAACTGAATTTTTATATTAGGCTTTAATTCACGACCGTATTTGCTGACCACACACAACACAACTTGACTATGGTTACATACATACATACGTATTTACTCATATACAAACTATACTAGACAAAAACAACAACAACAAAAAAATTCTAAAACAATCCTTTTTTACTACACTTTTTGAAGACAAAAAAAAACAGAAAGTTTCTTCACAAACAATTTCTTTACCAACGCCACACTCCACCAATCCTATTTATTTCAATTTATTTCACGCCAATCCCCACTTTTCTTCACCACCACCATCAACACTTCCTCCCCACCAACACTTCCTTACATTTTTATCAAATGCGACTCGTCTCAACTTTAAAACTTAAGCTCGTCTGTTAGTTGAATTTAAATTGATACAAAAATGCAAGTATATTGAAAGTGTTACTTACTTAATGCTGAAAAAAAGCCGAAAAAACTAAGAAGCAACAAACAAAGATGCGTAAGAAAGAAAGAAAAGTGAAAAACAGAAACTGGAGAAAAAAAGGTAAAGAAAAAATTTAATAATCATTACAAAAAAGTTTCAAAATATTTCCAAATTACATTTACATCCATAATTTACATTAAAAAAAATCAAATAAATTTAAAAAAAAGTTACAGAAATAAAGCGCAAAAAAAAATAAAACAGTGTGTTTTTAATTTTGGCATTGGATGGTAGTGTTATTTTTACTGCAAAGCATTTACTTAAAGAGAAAATCATAAATTTTGTGCGAAAGCTCGAGTGAAAGCACTGAAAAGCTCTGTCATTTATGTTTCGTATTGTTGGAAAACTAGCTAATCTTTAATATAGCAAAAAAGTCATTAATTTTTTTTTTTACCAAAGCTAAAGTGAAAGCACTGAAACGCTTAGCCAAGCTTTAATGTTATTTGAAAACTCAAATCCAAGCACTCGGAGGCAATGTTAAACTGGACTGCTTCGACGCACAAAAAATGATTATTTTTTCACTAAATGAGAAAGCTAAGATTAAGCGCATGCTTAATTTTATGTTTAAGTTTATATAAAGGTACGAAAAGGCGCTGCTAAGCTTTCAATTAACGAATTTTCACTAGAAAACTTACGTGAAAATGCGGAAAGACTATCTAATGTCAATTAATAGCATACATTTAGTATCTCAATAACTAGATTTTTAACCGGACTTTAACCAAAAGACCGGGGTAGTTAATTTTTGAAAACAAAAAAAAAATAAAAAAAATATTAATAGATTGAAAGCCAACGGTAACGAAAGTTGAAATGACAAACATTAAGGCAAAAATAATTTACGGGCGTTCTGTGATCTGTAAAAGGAAGGGGAGGCGCGTGGCTGAATTTTTAAGAGTCAATAATTTATCTTATCCGGCAAAACTACGAGTACCATGGAAAAAAGTTATATGGCAATATTGTAGGTAATGAAAAGGTCTATAACTTTTGTATATAGCCTTTTTTGACATAAACTCAAAATTTATGTGAAAAATTCCAATAATCTCAGATGTACATATTTTCCAGGTTTTTGTTGAAAATTTTGATTTTTTAAGCCAATGTAATGTTTTTCAGAAAAAACTTTTTGGGAAGCAACAATTTTGTCAAAAATCAAAATTTTTACTGCTCGTTCGATCATTGCGTGCTTTCATCTGCAGTAATAGTAGAAGTTTTAAGTAGAAAATTCTTCCTCACCGCTAGACACGTTTTTTCGGTGGTCCTCCTGGAGATCGACTACAGTTCAAGGTAATTCAAAATTTTTCAAAATTAATCACAGTTTATGAAAGTACATTAAGTTCTGTAAATGTGCTCTTATATTTTATTTTTTTATCAAATAAAATGCATCTTAAAAAAAATTCGCAAAAAAACGCGTTTTTTCTGACTTCACTACTGCATATAACCTTAATAGAATATTGAAGGTTTAGTTAAATTATTAAAGGTTATAAAAGGCTCTCAGGCTTTAGAGTTTATAAAGTTTTATAAGCCTACGAAATGAACATGCTCAGAATTAAATTCGAAATTATTAGCCGAAAAACTGACTGTCTTAACAACTGCATTCTCGCGGCTGCCTTTAGAGGAAGCTTTAAAGAGCGGCTATAATACATATTTATATATGTACAAATATAAACAATGTATAATAAAAGTTATAATAATTACTTATAATTAATATTAATTTTTAATAAACATAATTAATATTAATTACATCAACATAATTATTATTAATTTTTAATAATAATTAATAGTACATTTTTCAGCATATTAGTTATTGTAAACATTTTCATAATTAAAATTTCGATTAGGGTATATCTTGAGCAGCACTTCTTTACATCAGGAAAATAAAACTACATAAACAACAAATAATAATTTAAATTCAAAACAATACAACAGAATGCAATAGAAAGGCAAACGCACTAAAACAGTAAATGTGGATCGTGAGAGAAACAACGGCAACCCAGGTTCAATGACATTTGTAATGCAGGACTTCAGTTGGACTCTTTGGCAAAACAAAGTATGCGCTTAATTAGTTAACTAATTAAAATTGATGGTGAAAGTCGATGTTGCGGATATTTAAAATTATTAAATAATAATTATTACAAATTTTATTGGTTTTTTGGTTATAATAAAAATAAATCAAACGCAATTAAATAAATAAAAATAAATATTATTTTAGAAGTCTGAATTCGGTTATGGAATATGTGGTAAGTAATATATAATATTAAAAAACATATATGTATGTATGCATATGTATATATGCAGTTAGATTTAGAGGAAAAAATTATTTCTAGATTTTAGCGGTTTTAATGTCTCTAAAGTTAAATTTTTTTTTTTTAAGTTTTAATGAAGTGTTTTGGCTAGCATCAAATATAATATATTAAAAGTCAACTAGATTTGTTTTTCCCTAAATTTTTTTTTCAGCCATTTGTATTAAATATCTGTTCAAAAGTTTAAAATTGTAACATTATTAAAATAAATTTTTTAATCATCGTTTATTATTGTTACGAAAAAAATACTAATTTTTTGTGATTTTAGATTGTTTTGAAAAAAAAAAGTTTTTATGATTTTAGATTTTTTCGAAAAAAAATATTTTTTATGATTTTAGATTTTTTCGAAAAAAAAATATTTTTAATTATTTTAGATTTAAAAAAAAAAAAATTATTTTTAATGATTTTAGATTTAAAAAAAAAATTATTTTTAATGATTTTAGATTTAAAAAAAAAAATTATTTTTAATGATTTTAGATTTAAATTTATGAAAAGCAAAAATGAGACATTTTAATTAGTATATCATATAAAAACAAGAAATAAAGTTAACTTCTGATGCGCTGAAACTCTTCACAAATACAAAAGTTTTCATACAAGAACTACAATATATGCTATAGTGGTCCGATATCGGCCGTTCCGACAAATGAGCAGCTTCTTAGTGAGAAAAGGAAAGGTGCGAAATTTCAGATCGATATCTTTAAAACTGAGGTACTAGCTTGTATATACAGACAGATACACATGGCTTAATCAACTCAGCTCATCATGCTGATCATATATTATATTATATTATATGTATACATTTTATAGGGTCTCCGATATTTCCTTCTGGGTGTTACAAACTTCGTGGCAAGCAGTTTTGAGGTATTTTCAATTGTTTTTTTTTTAATTATTAAAAATTTCAATATGTATTATATTTGTATTATTTTAGTTATTGTTGATATTGAGCCATGACAAATCATATCATTTAATTGAATATTCAAAAATACGTAAAAAAGTATTTAATGTTTTGAAAAGCTTAAAACTGCTTGAGTGTGTTCTTTTCTAATATTACAATTAATACGAATTAAATAAATAATTTACTTTTTGCGATTGAATATCCTACTGCTATTATATCGGAATATCCATTCAAAATGCTTTAACGTGTAAAATTAAAAGAAAAAACAAGAAGTGTTCATATTTTTTATATAAGGACGCCATGATGTCGTTAGGAAAACCATAAATAACTTTGAAACAAAAAACCGAAGTTTGTAAATCTTATCCCTTTGTAGTGATTTATGCATTTGCTCGAGCAAATTCCGAAACGCAACTGAATTGCAATTCAAAAGTATCTTCGCTCACTAAACATATTTTTCAAAGTACAGTCTACACTTTAAATAAAACATTATTTTAAGAAATTTGGTTTAGCATTTCTCCAGCATATAAACAAGTGAAATTTCCCAATGTACAAAGCCGCTAAAATCTGCCACGCCTGCGGTTCTACGAAACAATAAATATAAACACAAAGCGGCTGGCACAAACATTGATCTCAATTTTACCTTTAGCTAATGCATGAATAGGCAAAAACCCCGTTCACGCTAAGCTATGACTGCTGATTCGATGTATACTAAAATAATAATACACACATTTAAGTGTGTTGAAGGTCATGTGATAGTATTAGAGCGCAACATCGTAGCCATTGTGCGGTGTTTGCGACGCGACCGGCTTTCCGCGAAACAAAGTACCAACGCGATTCTTCTTAGACGTTTGCAAACTTAGCAGCAGCCTAAGCAAGCGCCTAGTTATCAGGTAAGTTTGTTTAGATTAGCTTAAGTAAACACTATACACTAACTTATATCGCGGCAGTTGAATTTACGATCCTTCCGCGAAGGCTTTGCTAATTCTGTTTATACTTTTTGTAAGGATATTAACCTTGTAGAGGGATTTAGTTGATGATTAATTTTAGTACATGCTGCTAAGTATGCCTTAACTAGCAATACTACTACAGTAAAGTACTTGTTTTAAATATTTTACCGACAGATTAAGGCTGAGTGTAGACTATGCAGTTAGCATACAGCTGCATATAAATTGTTTAAAATATTAATTATTTAACAATTAGTTTGGTAAGTATTTAACAAAATTTTGCTATCAAGTTATATTGTAAATTCAGTTTAATATAAATGATATATTATATACATATATCTATAAGTACAAGTATATAAAAATAATATGTGAAGCAAATGTTTGACAGCTGTCAACCGCTTCCTGTCAAGTAGCCATCACAAAACTTACCTAAAGTCTTTACTTTTCGAAGGCATCCTTTATTTGAGCAAAACTATATATTAAAATTGTTATGCGCTCACAAATATATTTGTATACAGTTAGGTAATTATATGTACATTGAGGTACTCACTAATAATTAAAAATACAGCATGCTTACTTGCATATAGGGATATCCGAAAATTTTGCGTTTAAAACTTCCTCATTTGTATTTGACGGTGAGCTGTGTTGAAATATGTTAGTTATTGAAAATTGTGTATAGATTTTCTGACGTTTTATCTCTCTGAGGTCTGCGAGAAAATAAATAAAATTTAATTATTTTGCTTTTTGGTAAGATCTAGTCAGATAAATTTTTTTTTAATATTATAGGTATATAGGTTTTGGTAATATAAAATTGTTTTTTAATGCATATTAATTGTAATTGTTTGTGTTTTTGGTAAAACTTAATCAGACATAAGTTAAATTTTTATTTTGTATTTATTTATTATATATTATTTAATTTATTAAAAATTTAACAAAAATTTCGAATATTAAAAAAATGGATAATGAAAAATTTTAATATATTAAAAATAATAAGTTTCGGAATTTGTTTTGTAAAATGAATTTTAAATGTTCGCCCTAAAATTTTCATAGATGTTTGACACTAGTTAAAAATACTCAACTATTCTTAATATTAATTTAGAAAAAAAATTCGAAAGCAAAAAAATGGAAAATGGTAAAAATATTATAAGTAGTAGGTTTTTAAAAAATATATTTTTTTATACGTATTAAATTTAATATTTTTTTCTAAAATGTACGTTTGATACTAGTTAAAATAAGCTTAAGGGAAATAATTAAAATTTTGAAAAATTCTTTTGTCGACTTAAATAGTTAAATTTTGAAAATATAAAAATAAAATCCATTCCATTTTTATTTCCACCATAAAATAAATTTATAATAATTCTTGTTTTGAACGAATTTTAAAAAAAATTTTTTAAATACTTATACGATAAAAAACCGAACCATAGACTAAGAATTGATTTTATTGTGTTGTGAAATATGGTTACTTAATATTGCAGTGTAATTAACCTTTACAAGATTTTTAAAAAGTAAAAAAGCTAGAGGAAACTTTTCAATTAACAAACAAAAAAAGAATTTTCCATATATATATGTATTTAACTATATATCAATTAAATATTTAAAACAACTATTTGTCATATAAACTAATAATAATTTAAGCATTTTTTGAATGTTTCCAGAAAAATAAAAATTTGGATATTTAATATATCACTAAACAATTACAACAATTACACTACCTTGAGAACTAAACGACGGAGTAATGACGGCAGGTAAAGGCGCTACAAAGGATACGCGATACGGTGACCTTCGGTTTTGTTATAAATAGCGACATAGCAGTCGAAAAATTGTCACAGCGCAACAGATTGTCGTAGTGATCGCGTGATTTTGGCATCAAAAGTGAGCAAGTGAATTTTGTAGATAAACAAAAACAAAAAAGGAGAAGTAAATTTTACATTTTACAAAAATCATGAAAAATAAAAACTAAGTGAATTTCGCATTAAAAAAATTAAATTTAATTTATGTGAATTTCGCATTTAAACAAAAAAGTGAAATTTTTCACCAAAGCAATATTATACGGCAAACTATATTCAGTTGTGGTGTTAACTCCTGATAAATTTTCTGCATCACTGGGTAAAGTTTGTCCTATAATGCCAAAAGTAGCATACAATACCAACATACAGTGCATTCAAAAATAATGTGTTTACTTGAAATATTAGTCAGTAATTAGTAAATAAAAGTTTATAAGTGTTATTTGCAAATTTTCAAAAGTTAAACCAGTTTTTAAGGCATATCGTGCCACAGTTTGTTGAGAATTATTGCTTGCTTCAACACTGGGCACAGTGTGCCTTTAAAATTGGTATACCAGACAGCAGTATACGTAAGTATGCCTCACAGTGTCGACTGCATGTAATAGTAAAATTTTATGATTTTAAAATTAAACAGCGATTGTCGGTCTAGTCTCTCATTATAGTACAAAGTCTAGTGACTAGACCGAACACTCGTGCTATAATTTTAAAACAAATGCAACTTTAAAGTCAACAAACGGTAGTAAAGTATGAAAGCCGCATTAAAGTTACGAAGACGCAATTAGCTACTTTGGTAGCCTAGCTTTGAGTGATCGTTTGTCTCATAAAGCTAGGCAACCATTGCAGTTCGTTGTAGCGCAATCAATAGTGTTGGCCGGTATACTCATATAGAAAAGTGAAAAATTTTTATTGTGATATATAAAAGTAAAAATTTGCGATATACGCTTTTGCTGGTGAAAGCTGCGTGTATGATTTTGTGTAGCTTTCATCAGAAAAGCATAAATATTCGCTTATTAGAAAAATGAAAAGATTTAATTATGATATATCAAAATGAACGTTTCCTTGATGAGCTTTTGTTGGTGAAAGCTGTGTGCTGTGCTTTTGTGACGCTTTCACTCCTCTGAAAAACTTGTTAAAAGGAACGATCGTTGTGATATATATTTTTTCTAAGCCTATATCACAGTGATTTTCCTTGTTAACGAGTTTGTTCAAAAACAACATAAGTGTAAATTATTAATTGATAATTTTTTACATATAAATATACCATTTAAGTACAAGGACTAGTTGCAGTGATGTAGTTTTTTTTCATGTATATCACAGTGGCTGTTCCTTATATTTAAAATGGTCACTACTACTTTCAATAAATTGTTAAAATATTTTTATAAATACTGTTTTCTAACCTCACTTATCTAACCTATTCAATTATAGGACTAACTTTGTTCAGTGTTGGTACTAGTATATTTCTGCATCACTGGGTAAAGTTTGTCCCATAATATCATATATAGAAAGCAACACAAGTGAAGTGTGCGGAGAAAAAAGTTTAAAAAAAATCTTGCCATTTAACTTCAACGAAGTAGTTAGCTTCTTTGGTGGCCTAGCTTTGATGATTTATTTTCTCATAAAGCTAGACAACCATTGCAGCTCGTTGCAACGAAAACAACACTATATGGCGATAAAATATAAAAACATGAAAATTGTGTAAGCTTAAACCTCTAGTGAAGTGTAAGCTCAAATAACGTTTAAAAAGTGTAAGCTTAGAGCATTAGTGAAGTGAAAGCTCCAAAGCTTTAGTGACGTGAGTTAAAAATTAAAAAAACCATGTAGTGAAAGCTCAGTGATTTGTGACTTTTCATATCCCAACAACTCGATTAAAGGAACGTTCGTTGTGATATACTACGTACATTTTCAAGAATATATCACAGTGATTTTCCTTTACATTGCGTAAGTTAGGAAACAACATGTTAATTGACATATGAAATGTTTGTTTGAAAAGCGCCATTTAAGTGCAGGGGACAGTTGCTGCGATATATTTGCTTTGTTTTATAAATACATCACAGTGGCTGTTCTTTATATTTTAAATTGGCTATTCAACGATAAGTAGAAATTAAAATGTGTGGAAAAAGAAAGAGAGAGAGTGTTTGGAGAGCGAGCTTTTAATAAAAATTTACTAATGTGGAGTGTATTGAAAATTGTAAAGCGATTGGTATAGTGTCTAAAATCATTTTTGGAGTAAGTACCGAAGATTTATACAACCGAAAAGTCAGACAATCAGAACACTTCAAGCCTTTTTGATTTCTTTTTTAAATACATTAAAAAAAATATTGCTTCAACAGAAATATAAAAATCAGTTATCAGCTTTTTTATGCATTATTTTGTATTAACGTATTTTTAGTAGATTCCACGTGTTAACACTATGGAGGGTAAGTTCTGAGTGTAACCGAGACTTACAAAAGAAAGACAGAAAAGTAAAATAGTAAATAAAGGGAGCATTAAAGCTGTTGGAGACCTCGGTATGCAGAAACAAATACATAAAAGGAATTCCATATGGAACAGTCGAAGTAGAAAACAAAATCTTTTTTCAAACATTCTCCCAGAAACTATAACTCGGGAACAGTTCGACGCTTGTTAGCTCTTCAGTTCTTTTCTGCTGTTTATGCTCTCGTTAGAATATGAATTTGTTTCGAGCGCAATAGTGTCTACCAAAAAAGTGTACCTCATTCCATAAACAATTTTGAGACCGATTATAGGCATACTCGCAATTTGTATGTCAATATCATTAAACATAATGTTTGGGCCTGCTGTACGTTGAGGCTCAAGTTCTTGTACACAACTGTCCAATTAAAGAGCTCCACAGCCTGATCATTTCTGGAAATTATCTTCGTCGTTTAGCAGCAAGCCGCGGTATTAAGCTAGGTCAATTGTAGCTTATTTAGAGTAACAGTTTTGAGAACGAGCTTGGACACAATTGCTAGTTGATTACTTTGGATTTTCCCTTAAACATTATGTTTTTGGAATGCGGTAAGTTGAAGCTTAAGCTGTTATTCAAAATCAAGTTTCAAGTTTAGACGCTTTACTATCCGGAAATTACCTACGTCGGAGCTCCTAGTAGCGTGGCGCGGTATTAAGATAGGTTAGTTGTGGGTTATTTGGTGTTACAAGAGTGTAGTACTGAATTAGACTCTTAAAAGTAATGGCATTAAGATTAAAGTTCTATCGAACCTATCGTTTTTCTTAACAACATCGACTTTCCTCTTTAGAAATTTATAGATTGTTGGTATCAGAAAATTTTCTCTGCTTTGACTTGGCGATTAATAGCTCTATTGATTTATACATATTAACGACCAAGTAGATATTATGCATACATACATATAAAGTTAACGTACGAAGGGAAAACAATAAATTGTCTAAACTGCCAATAAATATCGGAAAGGATGTGCGTGCGAAAATCTGTAGCGTGAGCATATGTATGCCTGCGGGTGGCTAATTGCAATGAATGCATAAATATATAAGGACTTCGTTTTGCGCTTTTCCCCATGCGTGACCTACTTCGACTGTTTGATTTTGCCGTTAATTTCGCTGGTTTCATTGGTTTGCATTGCGTGAGGTTATTTCAATAGTTAGAGTACTTGCTAAGCGTTAGTTTGATTTTGTTCGTGGCGGCACTATGTTTGCCAAAAAAATAACGAAAGCCGAGCGAGAGGTTTTGAGGACGCAACGACGCGAGACGCAGTTGATAACAGCGCGGGCGAGGGCGAATAAAAGTAATTTTATCAAAGTTGTAATATAATTTCATACAAAAGTCGCTTAGGTTAAGAGGTTAGAGCATTTCACTTGTGTGAAAGCTTAATAAGCTTTTATAAAATAAAAATTGCAATATTATGATTATTAATATAAAGAAAAAAATCACTAAAAAATAGAATGAAGAGTTAAGGTGGACGTGAAAGAAAAAGCTCCAACATAGTGAGAGTGTCAAATGAAAGATAGAAGAAAAACGATATAAACACAAAACTAATTTCAGCATTTGTTATATATAATATAATATTTATAAAATTTAAAAGTTTATATCTTTAGAAAAAAAAAATTAAATATTAAATTGAGGATGTATAATAAAACCCAAACCAACTAAAAAGCTTAGTCAACATTCAAGTAATCAATGCACTAGCATAGTGAAAGCTCTTAAGTGGCAAATGAAAGCTCCTAAGAAAAAACTATAAAATTATACACCAAATTGCAGCGTTGGAATAACGAAATCTCTTCCTTTAAACAAAGTGAAAGCTCTTCAGTGTCAAATGAAAGCTTGTTCAAAGAAAAACGATATAAATATATAACTAATTTTAAGATTTGAATGACGGCATCGCATTCATAAAAACGAGGTTTTTTTGCGATAGTGATTTGAATATGAATGGAAAAAATCAACTTGTACTCAACCATTATCTTAATCGTAGATCTAAAATAAAATCGTATTGTTTCAGAAAAAAACAAAAAAATTTCTAAAATCCGTCTTCAGTTTCGGGATAACTTTAGAATATTGACATATGTATGTAAAAGCTTAAGAATATGTAAGATAAATTCTATACAGCAGAATTCAAACTACATTCAGCTTTGAGGACATTGTAATAAGTAATCAAAAAAGCTTTTAAGCTCGCTTGCATGGCATACTTCCGTTCAACTACTTTGATATTCAACGAAAGTTATAAAAAACTCGGAAATTTTGACTGAATGAGAATGCGTGTTTGGGTGTACTCTAACAAAAGCTCATTTAAGCTCAAAAAAAAATCTTTTATAACTTTTGTATTTTTATTTTCTCAATAGGCTTTATTTATGTGGTGAATCCGCCAGAAATTCCACGTGTTGCCTTCGGATCTTGCATGGAGCGCATTACGCTGCCTATATCAGGACCGGGCCTATCGTCATTTATGCGCAAAATACAAGGTGAAGTGCGTGATTTTCCCGGCCCTTTCGAGTATGTGCACACTAAGGAAGCTTTAGATAAGAAAGTGAGTAGTCTAATGTCTCATTCTTATTTTCTGATATTCTTTTTTCTACTGCTTCTTTAGTATCCATCTGCATATGGCTACTCATCGTTTGTTAGTAAATTGCCGCGCCTACCGCCCACTGATATGTCACGCTTTCCCCCAATTGGCGCCTATAATGTCGAACCGAAGAAGAAAATCAAACAAGCCGCGCGCCCATTCAATATTGGAACGAAACGTGTTCAAATAAAGAAGCTCGTAACACCATGGTGAGTTGAAGCGATTAACAGTTACTTTTATTGTTGCATCAGATAATGCATTCTTTTCTTTGGTTTCTGTAGTCCAGCCGATTATGCGGCCGACCAACCTCCAGCCAGTCTTAAGGTATGTTCTGCGTTCGGTTCGCGACGCATAATTTGGCCAGCTGTTGCCGTTATTTGCACACCCGTGAATATCGCAAAATGTTCCAAATGCAATAAAACTCCGGTCGGCGATTATTTCCATCAATTCCAATTGAATTTGGATATGTGTCGACGTTGCATGAATAAGCAGTTGAAAATGTTGAAGCGCTGCTCCACCGATCTCTTCTATCGTGCACGCATGCGCACCGAATTGAGTCTATATCAACCGGTAAGGTACTGTGACTTCTTTCACGATCATCAGGGTACGACGGCAGCGATACAACATATGCCCACATCGACATTGCGGTATAAAATCAAAACGGAAAACTATATTTACATGTTTAAGAAGCGCTGATGTGTGGTGTAACGAAACAGAGTTCTATACTATGTACATACATATATATATACTCGTATAGATAGATCTTAATCTTTTATAAAGAATTTGGAAGAAAGCTCTATATGGCAATAAAGACATTTTAGTGCTTTATAAATGCAACACAATTGATGGGTTGTTTTCTAAAACTAGTTATAAATATTTGAGAAAAAAGCTCTGAAATATGAAAGCTCTCTCAAAAAGCTTTTTGAATACTAAAGTTATCCAATTTTGTTGTGAATAACTATCATCTCAGAAGTATATCTAACTGAAAGCACAAAAGGAAACCTCTTTTAACAAGCTGTTGAAAAGCTCCATACAATATCCGAAGGCAACATGTGAAGAGTTGTCATCTCAGAAGTATATCCAACTGAAAGCACAAAATGAGTAAGAGCTTTGAAAAATGAAAGCTTTTCCTGTGAGCTTTTGAAAAGCTTCATGCGATATTTGAAGGCAACACGTGTATAATTCTCATCACAGAAGCATTTTCAACTGACATAAAAAGGGTGGAAGCTCAAGTATCAAAACTAAGCGCTGAAGATTAGTTTTTACATCTTTAAACTCTTTAATATGAAACAGTTTTTCCTAATATATTTTAAGTCGATCTTTATAGCATCTGACAGCATTAAAGGGTTAGTGTATAATAAGTGCACAATATAAAAGAAAAGTTAATCATAAATCAAAAAAATTTAAAAATAAAATTTGTGAGATTTTCAACTTAAAATGCAAATATCTCGAAAACTATAAGCTAATAATTATATATTCGTGATCTGGAGAATCTCCTCTATCCAAAAATACCCCTCTTAACCGTAAAATCGTGGGATGCTAAACTTAAGCCGACCCTATTAAAGCTCCAAAGAAGTGAAAACGCTACAATGTTAGCGTATATAATTTGCCATTCTATATATCTGGCAACGCAAAACAAATCAACTACAATGCGTCAATATTCAAAATTAATTTTGAATTGTGTTTTCGTTTGTTTAGCTTAAAAGAAATTTGTCTGCATTTTTTTCTATTATTTGGCCATACAAATTTCACACATATTTGGATCAGATATTTTTCTCAATTCAGGCGAAAATTAGAGTGATTTTATAAACTTTCAATGTTCTCGGCGGAAGCAGCACTAGAACTAGAAAACGGAATAAATGGTAACTTCAACTTATTCAACCTAACCTAAATGTTAACTAATAATTGTAATAATCATTAGATTTTCCTTATGTCGTCGCTGAGTTTAAAAAGCCCGAAATCGCTTTCGGTTCCGGCATGGAACGTTTTACAAGCAAATCGACTCCCGATAAAAGAAGAAGAGCAAGAGTTAAATTCATTATACGTGAACAACTTCAGAGACCATCTTATAAATATGGCTTATTACACAATGTAATGTATATACATATGTATAAGAGAACGGTATAACTTAATACGATTTGTAAGTTTATGCAATTTAGTACCCCTCAAAGCGTGGTTATAGCGCTATGGCTAATCGTTCGCCGCGCTTCAAGTTACCACCCGAATCACAATATCCCGCACCGAATGCCTACGATTACGTGAAGCCAGAAACAGCTGTAAAAATAAGTTATCCATTTAATGCCAGCGATGCTAGGTCTAAGCTGCCATACAAGCACATCGGACCAGCGTAATAGAAATGTAATATGTTGGAGAGTAAATATATAAATAATTTTTTCATTGTTCATTTGCAGACCCTGCGATTACTATCGGTATCGACGACGCGTCGAGCCAGTTGATATGGCATTCGGTAAGCAGCGTTACGTAATACCAGGCTACGCAGTCTTCTGTGGCGCTGAAAACAAGTCGAAGTGTTTTAAATGCCAAACTCAGCCAGTGGGCGATTATTATCACAATTTTGCCGTACATTTAGATCTTTGTCGGCCATGTATGAATGCCGAATTAGAAGAGTTGAATAATTGTAGGTATGATCGTTTGAAACGTTCGAGCCGGCTGCGTGAATTGGGTAAATTCAAGCCGGCGCGTTGGTGCCATTTCTATCACAAGCATTACTCTGGCAACTTAGCGGTGAACAAATATTCGCGCAGCACTTTGCGTTTGAAAAATAGGGTTGAAAACTACTTGCAGTCATACGATACGCTACAGAAATGGTATGTGCAATATTGAAGATCGGCTATACCTCGAGGCATAAAGTTCGAAAAGGCAACGTAAATTAAAAAAACAAATTTTAAGTACAAAAAAAGAAACTTAAATGCGAGTACATATATAAAAAATTGCAAGAAAAATATTAAAATGAAATTAAAGTTAAAAAATATATATAAAAAATTCTTAAAGTTATGGTTAAAAAATAAAAAAAGTTACAAGTATTGTTAAAAAATTCCAAAAAAATAAGAGAATATTAAACTGTGTCTTTGACGGCCTAAAATGTAATCTCACATCATACTCAAAAAAGAAGAAATAAATTTATTGCAAATCAATGAAAACGCTATTGTTTATAACGCATCTTAATTTCATAGATTAGGGTTATTTGTGATTTTGATAGATTCTCAAACGGGTTATATTGTATAATTCCATAACTTCAAAATACGACATAAGCCTCTGTATAGAGACTGCTTGAGATCATCACAAATATTCTATGAAAACTTTACATTTTCTTTAAATGACTGAAAGCGTTAGAGCCAAAATGCGTGAAACTTATTCTCACGAAACAAGGCAATCAAGAAGGTATTACTGAGATGATTCCATACCGCCATTTTCTAGACAACTTCGACTAAGAAAATATTTATCATAACGCCTAGATGTTAGCAACAAGACATATTCTCTTAATATAAAAAAAACCTTGCGATCTCGCAAGTACTGGCAATTGTCTTGCATTCGCTGGAGTTTTGTAGTGCCCAGCTGCTCAGATGTGGACCACAAGAGAGCAACCACATGTTGCTTACCAGCTTATCAATCATAGAACTTCTAGCGAATCCGGTATGACCTTAGCAAGAAATAGCTCGAAGCAATCAATATAGAGTTTCAACTGGTCGAAACTTTTTTTCATCTTCTCTGGTGTGAAGTTTAGAAATTATTATACTCTTTCTAAGGCCAGTAAAATAACATTTCACAAAATTCGTGAACACTGTAGTTTCATTGAACTATTTTTCAATTATATTTTTCAAGTTTCACGAAAATGAAAATTAGAAAAATGACTCAGTACCAATTTTGTTTTCGGCTCGGACAGTCACAGGGGAATCGTTGAAGTTTTGTTTCGCTCTTAGCCGCGAATTTTTTGTACATCTTTTGTAAATATTTTTTTTATATTTTTTTTTTATAAAAAAAAAATAAATTGTATGTGGCCAACAAAATGTATGATACTAAAGGTAGTATTTTGTAATTTTCTAAATCGTTATGTTCTTATATCTATTGGCATGCAAATTGTTGCAGACAACTTTCAATACGTTCTTGAACTACCTAAAATACCAGAAGTTGCCTTTGGTACGAAAATAGTACGAAGGAGCACGCTTTGGCCCAACGAGCCGAGAGAAAGCACTGCATCTTTTTGGTCTGTTCCGTCTTTTAGCAGTTTAAACAAAGAGGTGATGACAATTCCAAGAATACTGATACAAATTTCAAAAGCGAACAACGAAGTTAATTTGAAGAGTTTGTCCAACAAAGATGTCGATATCGAATCGGTTTTGGAGATGTTAGAAGCGCTTACCGTCGCATAAACTCTCAAAACTTTCGAGCTCCCAGTAGAAAAAAGGGTTAGGTTTCTCAAACATTATACTTGTATGGGAGTTGTCAGACAGAATACGTAGAATGCACGTCGGGTGTTCTTTATTAATCTAAAACATGGAAGACTTGTTCTTGCATATACGACAGCTTCACTATGTTTAGGGCAAATTAGGTTGTAGTTTGTTAAATCGACAATCTGCTTGAATCCGAAAGGGGTTCTTTCGATTCTTACGCCACCTGTATGCAGCGGTGTTTTATGGGAACTGTAAAAAAATACGTTAGTTTTTTCTCCAATAAAACTTCGTTGCTCATTTTGGTAACTTCAACGCAGTAAAAGGAAAATGAGTTAAAGTTAATTCTTTTACTAGTATCCCTCAAAGTATGGCTGTTCGCCTCTCGTCAGTCATACCCCCCGTTTTTCCGCACTTAAGGAGGATGATATCCCGGCTGTTGGCCAATACATCACTGAAAATGCTAAACCAATAAAGCAGTGCAAAAAACCATTTAATGTTGGAGATGCTTTAAAGAGAGAGCCAAAATTTCTGACACCCGCGTAAGTCTCGTACACTACAATTTATGATACCTTTTTACATTTGTTTATAACCGTTTGCTATGCGTCACTCACTCACTCTTGTTCTCTAATATATCCTTATTCACTTGTTTGCCACTCATCTGCACCGCTCTTTCTCTTTTATCCAGGCCAACCACCTATCCATATCACATAAAAATACCCGATCGACTCGACTATTGTCTCGCTTTCGGCACACGTCGTGTAATTTGGCCAGCAACGCCGATTTTTTGCAGCGCTAGAAACTATATGAAATGTTTACGTTGCCAACAACAACCCGACGGTGATTACTATCACAATTTCAAGTCACAATTAGACATATGTAGACCCTGTTTGAATAAAGAATTAAAGGAGCTGCGTCATTGTAAGACGGATGATTACAAACGCAGATTAAAGTTGAGAGAGTGGAGTGAGTTCAAGATGGTACGGCATTGCAGCTTTTATCATTTACATAAGAGCGGAAATATGAGGTCAACATTAATGCCAAAAAGCGATCTGCGTAAGAAATTAAAAGTGGAGAACTACTTATATCAATATTATCCAGTGTGGGATAAGCGTGTTATATGACATTGTTGGATGATGATGTAAGAAGAAGGCGAGACTTAATAGAACACCCGCTTACCTTTGCAATATTTTTGTATGTATGTTTTAAGGTCTGCAAAGTATGGTATGCCATAAGAAAAATTTCAAAATTTGCAAAAAAAAAAAAAACAAGAAAGAAGAAATAAATTACCAGAATGTAATGTATTTTTATAAATGATTGTTTTCTTTCGATACGCTTAATATATTTGGTAGAAGTTTGATCAACTATATCTATGGAACCTACCATTTGTTCATATACAGAGACCCTATTCGTCTTTTTGCTTGTTACTCTTGGCATAAGTGCTAAAGTATTAAAATACTTAAAAATAAACTTTAATGCTTTCTGTAAGGACATTATTGCTAACGAGTGCTAATGACGATTAACGGTATCCATAGAAGAAGTTTCGCAAGTAGCATACTCGTAAAATTTATGCTATAACCGGAAGCTTATCATAATAATGAAAACCCATCTATACTCTGTTCCAAGAGCTGAGATTTTGTTGATAGCAACTATTTTATTATTAGTTCCTGATGTTTCCAAGATGATCTTGATATTTTCAACAAATGTAGAGACATTACTGGTCCATATTTCATTCACAATTATGAGCAATTTTTAGTTGCTTTATAATGAGGGGTTCGCAAATACCCACCAAAAACTTTATGCAGAGCAAAACCTACGAATAATTTCTCTGGCTTATAATTCCGTATTAGCAAAGTTTATAAGAGATAGAAGAAGCAAGAAGTTCAGTGTTAAAGCTGGAAGGGTAATATATCGGTAGTGCAACTTGGTTTTTGTTACAATCGGGTACAATACTGTGATAGATTCACTTACATACTATGTTCGACTTAGAAGGCAAGCTTCGAACAATTTCGTCGAAGGAGACGCTGTTTTATATAGCTACAATTAAAATTACTTCAACTGCAGATACTAACACCTTATAGTCTGAGATAGGATGAACGAAATTGCAAGCACTGATACCCTGGAATTTTATAAAAGAAGTTGAGATTCTCTTCCTATTGTTATGCTCATTCCGTAAGCCGATTCCAAAGGCCTTAAGGACTTTTTATGACAAGTTAGTCATTACTGTCTGGAAGGGAGCGCTATAGTTCAGAATTGGGCTTGAACTCAGGCACTGTCGAACTTCTAGCTACTACACCTGAGCGACTGGCCTAAGCCTCCTAACGAATATGCTTTAATTTAAGAAAATATGTAGAGAGTCTTAAATTATACGCTTCAACTTCTGCCAGTTGTTCAGCTAAGCGACAACAACTTTGGTTGTTGCTTTTTTATCACTTTCGCTTACCAACCACAAACACAAAATATTAATCTTCGTGGCCAGTTGGCAGCTGTGTAAGAGATTCACACGCGCTACGTAGCGGGCTTAGAAGTCAACTTCATCTTAGCTGTTGCTAGTGGCTTGCAGGAACTGTGTGCAAACTATGCGTTTTTCCAAATGGTTGCGCCAGTTTAAGGCGTACGCGATACAGCTCATATGCAACAGCAGCAATAACAACAAATTAATAAAAAGTAGTGCCAACTCCAAGAACGAGTTGAGAAGCTGAGCTTTGTTGCCCACGCTTGAAGGTGTCAACCGAAAAAAATGCCAACTGAAGTGCAAGTGCATGTAGCTGTATAATAAATTCATGATGTTGGGCAATTTATCTACTTCACAGAAAGGCGCTATCGTCAGCAGTAGAGAAGCTAGTGGCCGGAAGAAGTTAAAGCGCGTGAAGCGCTGTATGTGCATGCGTGTATGTTTTGATGTGTGCGGGTGGCAGCAGTGCAGAAATTGGCTGCAGTCAGCAGCGTAAGACAGCCAAGTTGCTAACAATTAAGCTGACCAAGCGTATGGACTGTCGCTCGCTGGTTGGCGATACAGCTGTGCGGTAGTTTGAATTTGAATTTTCGCTGAGCTTAGTTGCTTTGCTTCCGGTGCGATGTCCGTTCATCTTGTATGCGCGGCGTAGTGGTCGTCTTAGCAAACTATGTACATATATACCATACATAGATACTGAGATATGTATTATATAGCGCTGGTATTTTTATTGATGGATGGAAATAAGCTTTCGGGATCCCGAAGTTTCGGGTTGCTATTATTTTGACCAATTTTTTAAGTCGAGTTTCTTAACCGGGGTTACTTTTTCTTAAGCTTGGAAGCGCTTTCGGTATCCTGAAATTTCGGTTAATATTATTTCAAAACATTTTTTTGAATAGAGTTTTTGAATCGAGGTTACTTTTAATATTTTTTGATGCATCTTAAATTTTTCGGGAACTCGAAATTGCTAGTTCACACGCTTGATTTTTACATACGAAACATTTTCGAGTTCTCAAAATTACAAGAAATTTTATTTTAAATAATTTTATTTTTCAACGCTACTTACATTTTTCGGGATTCCAAAACTTCGCGATTAAAGAGTTATTTCGGTATTTAATGCTTTACTAACACAAAGTATAGTGGCTCATTCACTCAATTTATGCATACGAAACATATTCGAGATCCCGAAATTTCGGGATGAATAGTTGATTCGCTATTTAATGCCTTAACACACATACAGAGCTTAGTAGCTGTTAAGTCATGTGTTTTTTACATATTACAAATATTTTCGGGATACCGAAATTTCGGGATTAATAATTGATTCGGTATTTAATGTTTTAATAATACACAGTACAGTAGCTGCTAGTTCTCACGCTTGACTTTTGCAATTTTCCACATTTCCACATCCACTATTACCATACGAAATGCCGGATTAGTCGCTGACCACAGCTTTTCGAAAAAAATCCCACACAAATAGATATACAGACATGTATGTATGCATGTATATATTTATTTTACCCTTGCCAAACTCATTCTGAATGGCAATTAATGGCGAAAATTGCGAGGAAAAAATTTCTTGCTGGCCGCCCACGCCGAACAAAGCGGCCAAAATGAAAATTAGTCAGTGAGAGTGTTCCTAATCCTTTCCGCCTTCACTTTCTGTCATTCAAATTAGTTGATTCTTGCACAAAGTGAGTGAAAAGTGCGTTGCATGTGTGTGGGTGTGTGCGCTACGCTGTGATTTACGACGCTGCCAAGCGATGCGTGTAAACCACTTGAATCTGTTTTAGCATACTTTCAGGCGAAGCACGCAAAACAAATATGTTAAATATTTTTTTTGTGCAAAAAAATTTGGTCACTTTAAAATCGTTCTTGCGGTTAAAACTTTTACATTAGCCAGCGCGGATTTTCATTTATTCATGACGGCGCTTAAGCGCGCACTTCCTGCTGGCTAACGATGGGCTCCGTGGTATTGTCAACCATACCATGTAGTGCATGGGCAAATGCGTTGGCACGTTTGACAGGCGTTGCAATAATATTATAAATCTAGTGGAAAATTATATTGGAAAAGGTGTGCTCCATTTCCTCGTTTCACTTAACTATATTAATTTGCAATGGTTATTCGCATTTAGCGTTTGAAAATTAGTTGGACGCGACATACAAATTAGCCGTTAATAGTTGATCATAGCAGCCTAGGACGGAGCGATTTTATGAGTTTATATACAGCTCAGATGGGAAATTTGAATTTAATTTTTGTGTTGCTTCTCTTTCTAGCAGCTTTATCAGCTTATATTTACATATAGTCCCTAGTTAGAGACTAAATGCCTAAAAAACGCACTTTCCGCATACAATCGGCTATACTTAACTGATACTTATCCGGTTTTATATGCGGTTAAGGACTGCCCCCTCAGCAGTATTGCTCTTTGGGGATTTTTTTTTGCTACCATGACCCCAAAATACTTAAGAAGAATGTTTGACCATTTCTGGCATTAACATCTGGAAACATCTTTCTATTTGATTGTCCCGAAATTAAAGGCCTAACCAATTTTTAATACAAAAGATCTATTTTATGGCTTCACAAAGTACTGCATCCGTCCAAGTGCGATCTTTGAATCAGCCACCGAATCCAAACTAACTTATGCTGAAAACTCAGCACCCAAATATTTCCATAGCAAATCAATCATATTCTTCCCGATTGATTTAAATATCGAGAGGTATGTGGAATGAGTATGACTGTCCTACTATTTCTTCAAGCAAGCGCTTTTTTTTGCTTGCATTGAGTGTTTAGAAGAAGCGTCTTTTATGCCATTTGTCTTAGGATTCCTCCTTGATTTAAGTCTCGAACTTCAGAATATGATCGGTATTAACCGGTTATTTGAACTTTGATGCCGCTATCTAAGCTTTGGATTTTTCAATACCAAATATTCATATAAAAACCTTGAGAAACCATGAGACTCAGCGCAAAAACTTACATGCGAGTCTTCCTCATAACCTGTACTTCTCATACTGAGAATATTGAAATTTAACATTCCTTGAACTAGCTTGCAGTTTAGAGCTTTCTTCTAGTTTATTTAATTCGATTAGGCTGTTCGAATCTCTCCTCCATTTACGCATCCAGAGAGTTCGAAATATTATCTGGCGAGTCAAAAACATAATTTAATTGCTCCTGCTTCCACAATATTGAAACTGCCTTAAAATGAAAACCTCACCAAAAAAAATATTTTTTAGCTTTTTTTACTTCTTAAACACTGTTTACATATATGTATGTATACGAGAGCGCACCATTTTGTTCAGTTGCACCTGTAGGTCACGTCGCCTCATTAATATTCAAACTGCAGAAATCTGCGTACGCTTCACTCGCTGTGTTTCCGCTACAAATACAAAATTAATTTTATACAGCTGGTGGAAAGCATTTTTTTTAACTCAAGTCTCAATGCGAGTATTACGTAATATTTACATATCTCTGATGGTAGCAACAATTTGATTTAATTGAAACTCAGCGGCTTTTATTTGGGTTCCATATAATGCTAAAGACTCGAAGGCTTCCTTTGGTTGATTATGCGGTTATGTGGTTAGAGTAAGGAAATTCAAAAATCGTATACCTTTATTATTTTTCGAATCAGCTTGTTGCCGAGAGATTGCACCTAACAAAAACTTCTTATAGAGAATATTTCTGTTTTTTCTGGCGCTATTCGTTTTTATTTCAGACTAAAAATTATTACTTAGTGGTCACTACTACTCTTCGAGCGCAAATCCTCTATTCTGTGACACACTACGTTCTGGAGTGTGCTTGAGAGTAAGAAAAATTTAAAAACTTTTACCTATATTATTTTATTTGCAGATTTTTTGAACAAGTTTA